AAATATGGATATAACGAAATGTTTCAGGAAACACCTATTTCATGAAAACCTTTCATTTATATTAAAAATTAAATATTTTTAAGATTAGTCATTGTTATAATTTATGAGAAAAATAATAAAACAACCTGATTAACACTTATAAACCGTTATTCTGTTTAATGCCTTATGTTTGCATGCCTCACCTTCACACGGCTACCAACAAACTAAGATGTTGCAACACACAATTTGGAAATCTCTGGGTTAACAGATACAACTAACGTACCGACTCTCTCTCTTGTACCAGTACTTGGTTGTTGTCCAGCTGTGACTGAAGCTCCGATAGCTGAATATCTTTCAACCGTAACTGATCCTGTGTTTCTCGTAGAAGAGATTTCACTGAGTCCCTGGAAGCAGATAAGTCAGATTGTAAAAGGGATGCGAATGCAACACTCAGGTTCTGGTACAGGACTATAGTCCAGAAGTGGACGAACAACCAGAACTTTCCGCTGGAGTTTACAGCTGGTGAACGCAAAGAAGAAGAAGAGAAGTAATCTTGTTAATGTTTTAGCTTCAAGTATTTTCCATACCATCCTTTACCTCTGATTATTACAAGGTATTATAATAAGACGCCTGTAGTCAAGATTAATAACTTCTTCTTCTTCTTCTTCACTTCCCTCTTTTACCACTGTGGGTGTCGAGGGAGATATAAGGTTCTGTTTCTAGCTCTTCTGGCCGCCTCGACCATAGGCACATCGTGCTGTTGTAGAGTTTCTCTGATGTTATCCTTCCATCTTGTTCTTGGTCTACCTCGTGCTCTACGTCCTTCTTCTCTTTCCATGTATGCTTTGTATGGTATGGTGTCACAAGGCATTCTCTCTAAGTGGGCAAACCATTAAGATTAATAACTAACTAACAAAAATCATAGGTGTTATAGCTTCAATGCTAAATACAGGCCAAGACAGATTTCTTTAATATGATTAGACCAAATGTAAAAAAGTGTGAGAACACAATACACAGTGACACCATTTATAAACCATATAAAGTTAACGACTCATTTTGTAAACCACATGATGAATGAAGTTCAACCCTACCAAGACTGCACAACGAGCGATAAACACCCGGTGACACAAAGTGCCACCATTCGGATGAGAATTAACTGGGCCAAGACTCAGAAACCCCGTTCAACGTTATATTAGGGTCCCCGATACCAGTTGGAGTGGAGCTAACGAAAAATTGAGTTCAATATAGGGACGAAAACTATTCAAACCACATGATGTAAAAAGGCACCAATTGCAGACCATGTTAAGTAAACGACACCATCTAAGAACCATCTAAAGTAAATGACACTATTTAAGAAATTACATGAAGTAAATTACATGACTTATATATTACACCACACAAGAGACATATATGGGAGACATGGTTACTTAAACCACATGAGAGACATGAACATATAAACCACACAAAACTAATGAACACATAAACCACATGGTTACCTACGTGTGGGAAATATGAACGAGTAAACCACATGTTTACTGACACCACATGGGAAAGATGAGCTTATTAATCACATGAAATAACGGACACCATATGGGACACATATGTTGGAAACATGAACAAATAAACCTCATGTTTACTGACACCACATGGGAAAGATGAACTTATTAATCACATAAAATAACGGACACCATATGGGACACATATGTTGGAAACATGAACAAATAAACCTCATGTTTACTGACACCACATGGAAAAGATAAACTTACAAACCACACAAAATAACAGACACCATATTGGAGACAAGAACCATTAAACCATATTACACTCGTGATGACCAAATAAGATAAGACGTACAGCTCTTGCGTTAAATGGTCCGCCTCTGTCTGTGATTTGTACATCAGATCTTCAACCTTCCTGGATGCCTCTGTCTGCAGTTTTTCAACCTGCAATCACAAGACACCATACTTAGTTAACATATCTAAGCTCACAACACAAGAAAAGATCTTATATAAGAGTACTGACATGACAGAATGTTAGATGGCCATGCATGCTCATTTCTTACCCCTTTGAAAAAAAACAGTCTCTTCGTTTGTTCATTCATATTGGCCAACCTATTTGGCTGCTTTTCATTTCAGAAATTACTGGCAGTTTGCCCAACAGACTGAGAGCTCCCCAAACAATGACCTTGGCTCCTACGTCGACCCAGCTTAAAATGGGTACCAGCTAAAGTAGAGGGAAGGAAGAGCGACAAGTGTGATGCTGACTACACACACTACCCCACCGTGTGCCAACTGGTCTATACAATATAGGTCCAACACTTTATGCTCTATATGCCTGAAGGTGGGGAAAAGGGTCCTTTAATTTACTTACTTGATAGATTTAAGTTTAAACAACCGATTAACTTCATGGCATAAGTGCTTCGTTCTACTTCTAACTCAAGCCTGAGTCCGAAGAATCTCAGCGCAGTGCAGAAACTCTATAGCACCGGCGAGGATCCTGAAAATACTTTCGGTAGATTTTAAACTCCAGATTTTGCTGGGCAGCGCCATTAAGCAACTCTTTTCGATTTCCAGCTGCCAAGGAATTGTTTACATGTGCAACAATACACACGAGCGTCCGATCTTACTACCCAAAGACCAGGGGAAATTATTAGAAGTCCAAGTGAAAAAGAATCCCAGCCTTCACCGGGGTTTGAACCCATGACCTCCAGCACTCAAGTGGGATGCCATGCCCCGAGACTATTCAGCCCCCCCCCCCCCCACCCCGCCACTTTTTTGTTCACCAGAGGGCAGGTCGGTCGACCGACGTCATTAAGCCTTGCGCCCGCGCCTAGGTACCTACTTGATAGACTTTGGAGATACACTAACAATAACAAAATGCAGTTCTCTCAGTGTCGGTTCTAGTGCCCCATTTGTGAGCGGGGGGAGGGGGTAGGGGAATGTTGTACCAGTGGACTAATTAGGGATGACTCCTTTGAAGTCGAAGTGCATCTTAATGAGAGACGAGAAACAAATAGTCTGCATTCAAATAAGGCAGATCAGTTAAAGGTCCTCAAGTGAATGAACAACCAGATCTTTCTGCCTGAGTTTACAGCCAGTGAATGCGAAAAAGAAGATAAGCTGTGATACACACGTTATGACACAGACCACCGCAGGCTACCTCTCACGGCTTGCTGACCAAAGTCGACACAGTCCCCACTGTCATACAGAGTAGCCTCAGATTACAAACAAATGAATGCAGAAGGAAAGTCTGGTCCTAGATGCGTAACTACATACTACACACCCTTATCAAAAGAGGAAGAAGAAGAAATATATCTACATTATCAAAATAAAACTGGCAGGACAAAGACAATAAACATTACAGCCCTCACCTTCTTCTGTATCTCCCCAAGTTCACTATCCTTCTTGTGGACTTCCTCTCTGAGGCTACCCAACTCATCTTTCAGTAATCTGCATTCTTGAACCAGTTCTGTCTTCTGAGATTTGACTTCCTCCCTTGATTGTTCAGCCTTGGAAAGAATAAACAAAACGTGACTACAAGGCTCTATGTTAATTTTTTCAGTCTTAGAAAGAATAAGAAAACATGACTAAAAAAATATATGTTGCTTTTTCAGCCTTGGAAAAAATAAGAAAACATGACTACAAAACTATATGTTGATTTTTCAGCCTTGGAAAGAATAAACAAAACATAACTACAAAACTATATGTTCACAGTAACTGTAAAAGACTGCACTGTAAAATCTCAGCAGGGGTCCCACTGCCCCCATCCAGCAAGCATGTCATAAAAGGCAACTAATTAGGGACGTTTCCCTTGAAGTCAGAGTGCATCTTACTGAGAGGCGGGGAACCAACAGTCTGCATACATACAAACAAACCATACATGTAAAATGGATGTGCACATAAAACTCAAGTTCTGGAACAAGACTGATATCCAGAATTGACAGCTGGTAAATGTCAGAAGAAAAAGAAGAAGTACTGTAGCAAGATAGTTTCAACAAGCAAAGGTAAAGAAGACACTGGCAGAAAGGTAGTAAAGGGCTCTCCCTTTCATGCCGGGGGACATCGGGCATTTAATGCTACAGTCAAAATTCAGCTAGATGTTATGAGAGCTCTTTAGGAGCAACGAACAGTGCAGAGGCACAAATAAATCAATACGATCTTAGGAGAATGGCGCTGCAAGGATTTCCCAGTGGATCTGGCAGACATGCAACACTCAAGGGAAAGGCAAGACAGATATATGATCAGTTACTGGTGCTATTGGAATTGGAACTCTTCACTTACTGCTGAAGATGGAGACAGAGCACTTATGGGAGTTTCCCGAATGCTGTGATGTTGCAGTCATAATTGTATAGATCTTCTTCTTCTTCTTCTTCTCCAGTGTTCCCCGGTCATGCGTTTAATCCACTGTGGGCCATAGACTGGGATGTCATCTCAAGGTCTCTTAGGTTTCCCCAAAGCTTAGTTGTCAGGTCTACTGGGTGTGGCCATAAGCTGCTTTGCAGCTCCTCCAGAAGAGGACAGCCTTGCAAGACATGTTCTGGGGTCTGTTCAGCATGAAGACACTGGCAGAGAGCTGTTTGGCTCGTACCTAATTTATATGAGTGTTTCTTCAGTCTGCATTGTCCAGTGTGTAAGTGGAAAACTGTGACTTTGTTCTGTAACTAAGTTAAATGAGTGTTTGTTGAGTCTGCAGTGTCCAGTGTGTAAGTGGAAAAAAACTGTGACTTGGGTCTGTTCTGTTCAGGTGATTAACAAAATATTTTTTTTCATCATGTGTCCGTTTTTCCAGTCTGTCTCTGATCTTCTCCTAATGAGGGTTTTGACTTTTGAAAATGATCACGACTGGCAGATTTTTGTGTTTCCTGCTGTCTTTTTTGGCTAAAGCGTCAGCACTTTAATTACCTTTGATACCTTACTGAGATAGAATCCATTGCAGGCTAGTGTCTGCCTTTTTTGACAACTCCACAAGATCCTTTGTTAAGACTCGGCAAGAAACAACCACAACATCATCATCACACTTACCTCTTCTCTAGCCTTTGTAATAAACTCCACTTGTAAGCTGAGCTTCTCCACCTTGTCCTCCAGCTCCAACTTGGCCTTCTTTGACTTCTCCACCTCCTCCAGATGTTTGCTGGCCTCCACCCTGGCCTGGATTAATTCTGTGTTGAGGATGCTTTTCTCTTCCTCTGCCCGTTTCAAGTGTTTTTCTGCCTGCTGTTTTTCATACTGAAAGATTAAGACAATAATGTCTTATGTCTACACCTAAAGACCCTCTTGCAAACCTCCCCATGTGGGTTCCAAAGCCCCATTTTTATAGGGGGTAGGGGATAAACCTATATTGCCCCAGACAAGCATAATATAATTAAGGTTTGCTCTAACTGGATTTGTTGGGTAGAAAGGTACAGATGTGACTGTCTCGCTGTAAACCACAACACAGCTATCCAACCACCCTTTTAACTCTTTGAGTCGCAGAGGGTTTAGCATCACAGGGGTAGTCAAGAGAGATGTAAAATCGACGCATCATGCTTCATTGGGCTTCTATATGAACGTATAATGTGTTCCTTGGGACTCAAAAAGTTAAGGATGAAAGCAGAAGAAGAAGAAGAAGAAGTGAAAGTTCTTCTGCCCATTTTAACTGTTATTCTGTTAGCTGTTTCTTATCATAAAAGAGTAAGATAAGGGGCAGGACAGCAAGAAAACACCAGTGTCAGACTGCTTCTCCTGACCTGTATATCTATTTAAGTGTCGTTCTGCCAGCCATTTCTCAAACTGAAAGATATAAGGGCATGTCTGTAACTAAACTATCAGTGTCAGGACACCCCCTCCCACACACACACACACTCTGTTGCTTTTTTCATTTTCTGGCCGGTTCTGCACCACTTGGTGGTGACTTGATGTATGATAAGCTAGACGTTGTGAGCGCCCTCTAGAAGCCAGTGAACAGTGCGAAGGCACAGATAGATCATTACAGTCTGAGCAGAATGGCTCTGCGAGGAGTTACCAGGGGATCTGGCTGATGCTCAACACTCAAGGGATGGGCGAGATGGATATACAATTAGACAGTTACTGGTGCCATCGGCATTGGAACTCTGTTTGCTGCTGAAAATAGGGATGGAGCGCTTATGGGGAGTGTCCCAAGGGCTGTGACGTTGATTCTTGATTCAACAATCTTTTTATTTTTAATTTTTATTTTGCATTCATATTTAAAAGGACAGTCGTGATATCTGCACCTTTTGGGCCAACTAATCCAATCGTAGCAAATCACACCAACCAAGCAAGCAACCAGCCAAAAATACCCAACTGTTTAACCAACCATTAAAAAAAATACTAACCAACCACTCAACAAAATACTAACCAGCCACTTAACCACATACTAACTAGCCACTTAATCAAATACTAACAAACCACTTAACAAAATACTAACCAGCCAGTCAACCAAATACTAACCAGCCACTTAACTCTTTGAGTCCCAAGGAACGCATCATACGTTCATAGGTTATTGCCTAGAAGCCCAATGAACGCATGATGCGCCGATTGTACGTCTCTTTTGACTACCCCTTTGGCCTGTGATGCTTAACCCTCTGGGACTCAAAGAGTTAACCACATACTAACTAGCCACTTAATCAAATACTTTGAAACCTTTTCAACAAAATACTAACCAACCAACCAGCCAAGAAAAGTTTATCATCCAATCAACCATCCATTTATGCGGTTTTCAGCCAACTAACAAGCCAACAAATTTCATACTAAATCCATTACCAAAAAAATAAAAAAACCCAACAACCAAACCTCCCACCCACCAACCCAGCCAAACAATGCTGTCCTAAACATTTAACCAAGCTCCCACCCACCAACCCAGCCAAACAATGCTGTCCTAAACATTTAACCAAGCTTCCACCCACCAACCCAGCCAAACAATGCTGTCCTAAACATTTAACCAAGCTCCCCACCCACCAACCCAGCCAAACAATGCTGTCCTAAACATTTAACCAAACCCCCCACCCACCAACCCAGCCAAACAATGCTGTCCTAAACATTTAACCAAACCCCCCACCCACCAAACATTTAACCAGCCAAACAAATGCTGTCCTAAACATTTAACCAAGCTCCACCCACCAACCCAGCCAAACAATGCTGTCCTATTTAACCAAGCTCCCACCCCAACCCAGCACTGTCCCCTACCCAGCTCCCCACCCAACAATGCTGTCCTAAACATTTAACCAAACCCCCCACCCACCAACCCAGCCAAACAATGCTGTCCTAAACATTTAACCAAACCCCCCACCCACCAACCCAGCCAAACAATGCTGTCCTAAACATTTAACCAAGCTCCCACCCACCAACCCAGCCAAACAATGCTGTCCTAAACATTTAACCAAGCTCCCCACCCACCAACCCAGCCAAACAATGCTGTCCTAAACATTTAACCAAACCCCCCACCCACCAAACCCCCAAACAATGCTGTCCTAAACATTTAACCAAACCCCCCACCCACCAACCCAGCCAAACAATGCTATCCTAAACATTTAACCCAAGCTGCTTTCCCCACCCCCCACCCACCAACCCAGCCAAACAATGCTGTCCTAAACATTTAACCAAGCTCCCACCCACCAACCCAGCCAAACAATGCTGTCCTAAACATTTAACCAAGCTCCCACCCACCAACCCAGCCAAACAATGCTGTCCTACACATTTAACCAAGCTCCCACCCACCAACCCAGCCAAACAATGCTGTCCTACACATTTAACCAAGCTCCCACCCACCAACCCAGCCAAACAATGCTGTCCTACACATTTAACCAAGCTCCCACCCACCAACCCAGCCAAACAATGCTGTCCTACACATTTAACCAAGCTCCCACCCACCAACCCAGCCAAACAATGCTGTCCTACACATTTAACCAAGCTCCCACCCACCAACCCAGCCAAACAATGCTGTCCTACACATTTAACCAAGCTCCCACCTACCAACCCAGCCAAACAATGCTGTCCTACACATTTAACCAAACTCCCACACACCAACCCAGCCAAACAATGCTGTCCTAAACATCTAACCAAGCTCCCACCCACCAACCCAGCCAAACAATGCTGTCCTACACATTTAACCAAGCTCCCACCCACCAACCCAGCCAAACAATGCTGTCCTACACATTTAACCAAACTCCCACCCACCAACCCAGCCAAACAATGCTGTCCTAAACATTTAACCAAGCTCCCACCCACCAACCCAGCCAAACAATGCTGTCCTACACATTTAACCAAACTCCCACCCACCAACCCAGCCAAACAATGCTGTCCTACACATTTAACCAAGCTCCCACCCACTAACCCAGCCAAACAATGCTGTCCTACACATTTAACCAAGCTCCCACACACCAACCCAGCCAAACAATGCTGTCCTACACATTTAACCAAGCTCCCACCCACCAACCCAGCCAAACAATGCTGTCCTACACATTTAACCAAGCTCCCACCCACCAACCCAGCCAAACAATGCTGTCCTAAACATTTAACCAAGCTCCCACCTAACCAGCTATGGAAGCAACTGACCTGTAGAGCCTCCTTCTCCAGTGTGACCTTCTCGAGTAATTGCTTGTGTGCTGCTGTGTTGTCTTGTTGTTTGTTGAGTTCCTTGTTTATGTGTGAAAGCTGCTGCTGCAGATCCCTAATCTCTGACTCGCTACGTTCTAAAGCCTCTTTCTTCTCTGCTTCAAAGGTTTCTGATAATTGACTGGCCTTGGCCTTAGATTTTTCTACTAATGAATTCTGAGGAACCAAACAGGACAAAACAACTTCATCAATGAACGTAAAGACAAAAGAGGAAATAAGAAGAAAAGCAGGTTTTGATGTAGATAATTATTAGCTTAGAAGATGGAGATGACTCGGACATATTTTCAGAATGCTTCGTGACACTTTGGCAAAGACAGGTCTCTAGGGAAGGCAAATGGAGAAAGAATATGTGATCTCTCAAGGAAACCAGGAGATGGATAGCAGAAAAGGAAATGAAAGAATACAAAGTGACATGGGATACCACGGGAACAAAAAGCAACAGACTGGCAGTGACTGCAGTGAAGATGAACTGTGAATACTTTATGTGTATGGGAAATGAAAGGATACAAAGTGACATGGGATACCACGGGAACAAAACAAAAAGCAGACTGACTGGCAGTGACTGCAGTGAAGATGAACTGTGAATACTTTATGTGTATGGGAAATGAAAGGATACAAAGTGACATGGGATACCATGGGAACAAAAGCATCAGACTGGCAGTGACTGCAGTGAAGATCAACTGTGAATGCTTTATGTGTATGGGAAATGAAAGGATACAAAGTGACATGGGATACCATGGGCACAAAAGCCTCAGACTGGCAGTGGCTGCAGTGAAGATCAACTGTGAATGCTTTATGTGTGAACAATAACAAGAAGAGGACTAGAGGTACAGTCTCCACTGGGTATATCCTAAGTTTGAAGTTTGAGATTTTGAACAATGGATCAACATCATGACACAAGGGTAGTAACTCATAAGTACTCCGTTTTTTCTTCTAACTCAAGTCTGAGTCCGAAGAAGCTCAACACAGTGCACAGGCTCTGTAGCACCGGGAGGGATCCTGAAATACTTTGGGTAGATTTTAAACTCTAAATTTTGCCCGCATTAGGTTACACTTTTTGATTTCCAACTCCCAAGGGATTTTTTACGTGCGCAACAATGCACACAGGTGTCTGATCTCACTACCCAGAGCCCAGGGGGAATACTAGAAGTCCAAGTCCACGTGAAAAAATCCCAGCCCTTACCGGGGATTGAACCCAGAACCTCTAGCACTCGAGGCGGACACCATGCCTGGAGACCACGCAGCCTCCCTCGGGTACATCCTGAGAAAAAGCAAACAGTATCACCAAACAAAGACTGAAATGGAAATAAATGAACCGAGAAAGCAAGGACACTGAAAAGAAACCTTAGGAAGAATGCTGATAAGATTGCCAAAGGTGCTGGACTGACTTCTATCCCTGATATTGAAACAACTGTAGAATGAAATGGAACAATAAACCGTGAGTCCTATGTGACATATAACAGCCCAAAAGGATGATGATGATGATGATGATGCTTCTTAGGTGCTGCAGATATTTTCATAATGGTGTCAAGTGTTGTATCAGTCAATCAGGCAGGCACCATCTCCAACACTCCCTGTCTCTCACCCTGGTCATACACCGACTGAGACTGCTGTTTATCCATCTCTTGACGTTAGCATCCCAATTGTATCACTCCCTGCTTCTTGCCCGCTTGGCTTAAACTTGTCAACCAGTATAGTTTTTATAAGAGTTTCATTTCAAAATATGTTATTTGTCTCTCTCTCTCTCTTTTTTTAAAAATTTCTGTTCCTAACTTTTTTTTTTCATTCTCAGTTTCACCAGAACCTCTGTATTTCATTGTTTCTATTTTCCAGAAATATGAGCTACTCTTCAGTACATCCACATCTCCTTCTGTATATCCACATCTTCTGTATATCCACATCTCCTTCTGTATATCCACATCTCCTTCTGTATATCCACATCTCCGACTCACTTCAATCTTCTAACTGCTTGTTCACTATCCAGGTTTTTGTACCACAGCAGGGATGAATAAACATGTACTTACACATGACCAACTAGAGACCCAATGGTCATCATTTGGAGGTGGTGGTGTGGTCTGGAGACTAAGCATTTCAGTCATGTTTAGTGCAACTGCCCCAAAATTAATACACGTTTCTGCGCTTGGACGCTGTCACTATTAGGAGGTGACGGGTTCGAAACCTAGCACAGTAACTACAGCTTTAGATTTTTATGTTATCTAATGTGTCCCCCTAATGCTTTGAGTGCCGATCAATAAATTTGATAATCTATTTATCATGCAGATGCTAGCATAGAGAAGGTGAATTATATATAGAGATGAACAGAGGCAGGTGTTATCTGTAGCAATGAATCTCAAGGGATCTGAATGCTGAAGGAGGAGAAGAAGAAGAGGAAAAAGAACATGAACAAGACAGACTAGCACAGACTGAATCAGTAAACAGAGAAAACATGCACTCACCAGTTCACTAATCTGCTCCTCCAGTCCCACAATCCTAACCTTAAAATTTTTTGTAACCTCTTGAATTTCCCTGTCCTTCTCCTGCACCAACCCCCGATAACTCTCCTCAACCTTAGCTAGGTTTTGAGAAGAGTTCAACAAGTCTTTTTGTAGATCCTCGAGTTTTCTGCAGAGAAATCAGTAAGCAGGTACGTCAGAAATAAAAAACCAGGCTATCTTAAAAAATAATAACAGGGTATATGAGAAATCAGTAAAGTGTAGAATAAAAACTAATAATAGAATATGTGAGAAATCAGTAAACAGGCATGTTAATTCAAAATAAACCAATAAAATAAGTAATAAAAAAAACATAAGACTTTGATATGGTGATAATACAATATCAGAAGAGGTTGGGTAGTTGCGTATCCCTTACAGGATGTTGCAGAACCAATCCCAACATTTTTTTGCTGTTGTTGTTTTTCTAAGCACATTTCACATTCAGTAGGATGCCACTGCTTTCTGAACGGTCAGTCTCAGTACCACTGTCAAAACCAATGCAAAACAAACCGTCCGCGGCTGGGATCAAACCCGGCACCCCAGCATTACAAATAACGTTCGCAACGCCTAAGCCACAGAAGCCGATAGAATCAGACACTGGTGAAATCTTGATGGCAAAACCTGGGCTGTGTTAAGAACTGACATCGCCGAGGCACTGAGGACATTTTCATAAGCACTCCCTCCTCATCTTCAGCAGTCACCAAAGAATCCAACTCTGACAGTACCAGTAGCAGTTTGACTGTATGATCTTCTTGCCGCCTTTCCTTTGGGCAGTGAGTGTTAGCCAGATCCCCTCCTGATCACTCTTCGCTGTTATCATTCTCTCTCTACTGCAATGATCTGTTCCATGCTTCTGAACTGTTCATTTGCTCCCACAGGTCCTTGACAGCATCTAGCTTGTCATACATCAAATCCTGGGAAGGTTAACTCGGTCAACAAATGCCTGCAGAAGTCGGATGTGTTGGCCAAAAGGTGCAAATATATCGCAGATATGCTGTAAACGGGCACAATACAATTACATCTTTGGATGAACGCAGAAGAAGAATACAACAGTTCACCACCTGGAGGTGTAGCACCAGCCAACAAGACAATCGGAAATTCTTCAATTTCTTCTTTTAAACGTTCACCCGTTGTTAACTCCGATGGAAAGGTCCGGTTCTGGACTTTAGTCTTGTTCCAGAACCTGACGAGTTTTGTATGCACACTCGTTTGACAGATCTGCCTTATTTGTATCCACAGAAAGATTTAGAAAGACGGATTGTGACCAGTTTGTACCCTCGTCCTGGTCCACTACCACATTTTGTTCACCACCTCCGTGTACCCAATCAGAAACGGACACGTGATATTTCTCCGACTTCTGCCATTATTGCCAGTCCATACCTGTTCACATATTCCTCAGATAAGACTGACACTTTTCAATGAGGAATCACCATCAGCAGCTTTAAAAACTTTTAAAACTCACTTTCTGCTAAGCACTTGTTCAAAGAAAAGAAACTACCATTAATGAGAACAGAAAATAAATTTCCTAAGCAAAAAAAGAAAAAAAATTAACAAATACGGGAAAAACCTTACATATCATGCTATACAATTCTCAAAGAACACAAACTAAAACATTATAAAATGAAAAAAATAAATAAAAAATTACACATTAAAAAGGCAGGTAAAGAAGAAAAATCTGTCACACATAAATGGAAGCACTAAAAGCGCATGCAGAACTGCATAAAGTGGGGAAAATATGAGAGAATCATTCACTAACTCACACTGGTGTAGAACAGAAGGAATGAAATGTTATGGCAAAAACATCAGTGGGATGTTTAGTGAGACAATTAAACAAATGCTAGAAAATAACAAACAAGGCGAGGAGAAGATGGTAGTAGAAAGGAACAAAACAAGGAGAAAACCTGATAACAGTCTAATTAGACATCCCTCTATACTCCCCAGCAAAAGTTTTATGTCGGAAGGATTGACTTAACTGCAACGGGTCTGATCCTAAATAGCTCAGTTTCTCTCCATGGAATGGCTAGCCATCTACCAAAAGTGTTGCCCACAGCACAATCTCCGTAGCTCTAGCAATGATCTCCAGAGATCACCATAAAAGCTGCATCCGTGAACTGAATGATGCATCCCAAAAACAAACCCTTGATCTTCAGCAAAAGCACTGAAATGTGGGTCAATAGAAGACCAAGATGGATTTCTTGGAGAGAACAGAAATAAAAGGCCCAAAAAGAAAGTTCTAACAGCCAAGATATTAAAGTGGCTTGATACCTGCTAGCCTGAAGATTTTGGATCTAAATATGTAGATAGGGGAGGGAGGGAGGGAGAGAGCGAGACAGAGAGAGAGAGATGGAGAGAGAGAGACAGAGAGAGGATGGAGGGAGGGAGAAAGAGAGAGAGAGAGTTAAAAAGAGACAGAGGCAGAAAGAGAGACAGAAATGAGAGACAGATCAAAGAGAGAGAGAAAAGAATAGCAGAGAAGGAAGTTAGAAGATAGCAGAGAGAAAATGACCCTGGGAAGAGAGAGGTCAGGAAGGGTAGCAGAGTCAGGAAAAAGTGTAGCATAGAGAGCAGAAAAGGTAGCTGAGAGAAAACATAGAGAGTGATAAAATGTGAAAGAATAGTCTGAAAGGAATCTCTACAGACAAGAGTACTTTCTGCTGCAGCAAACATCTATCATGCTGGATTATGTGTGATTTCTAAAGAATATTTCTAAATGCTTAGGGTATAGCACAGTGAGAAGGGAGGATAGCTAAAGAGATGAGAAGGAAGTGAAGCTGGGAGACAAGGAGAAAGTGAAACTGAGAGATGAGAAAGTGAAACTGAGAGATGAGGAGGTGAAACTGAGAGATGAGGAGGTGAAACTGAGAGATGAGGAAGTGAAACTGAGAGGTGAGGAAGTGAAACTGAGAGGTGAGGAAGTGAAACTGAGAGATGAGAAAGTGAAACTGAGAGATGAGGAAGTGAAAATGAGAGATGAGGAAGTGAAAATGAGAGATGAGGAAGTGAAACTGAGAGGTGAGGAAGTGAAACTGAGAGGTGAGGAAGTGAAACTGAAAGGTGATGAAGTGAAACTGTTAGATGAGGAAGGAGTGAAGCTGAGAGATAAGAAAGTAAATCTGTGAGATAAGAAAGTAAAGGTAAGAGATAAGAAAGTAAAGCTGAGAGATGAGAAAAATAAACTGAGAGATGAGGAGGTAGTGAAGCTGAGAGATGAGGAGGAAGTGAAGTTGAGAGATAAGGAGGAAGTGAAGTTGTGAGATGAGGAGGAAGTGAAGTTGAGAGATGACAATGTGAAACTGAAAGATGAGGAGGAAGTGAAGCTGATAGATAAGGAGGAAATGATGCTGAGAGATGAGTAGGAAGTGAAACTGAGAGATGAGGAGGAAGTGAAGCTGAGAGATGAGAAGGAAGTGAAGCTGAGAGATGAGGAGGAAGTGAAGTTGAGAGATGACAAAGTAAAGCTGAGAGATGAGGACGAAGTGAAGCTGAGAGATGAGGAGAAAGTGAAACTAAGAGATGAGGACGAAGTGGAGCTGAGAGATGAGGAGGAAGTGTAGTTGAGAGATGACAAAATGAAACTGAGAGATGAGGAGGAAGTGAAGCTGAGAGATGAGGAGGAACTGAAGCTGAGAGATGCGGAGGAAGTGAAGCTGTGAGATGAGGAGGAAGTGTAGTTGAGAGATGACAAAATGAAACTGAGAGATGAGGAAGTGAAGCTGAGAGATGAGGAAGAAATGAAGCTGAGAGATGCGGAGGAAGTGAAACTGAGAGATGATGAAGTGAAGCTATGAGATGAAGAGGAAGTGGAGCTGAGAGATGAGGAGGAAGTGAAGTCGAGAGATGACAAAGTGAAACAGAGAGATGAGGAGGAAGTGAAGCTGAGAGATGAGGAGGAAGTGAAACTGAGAGATGAGGAGGAAGTGGAGCTGAGAGATGAGGAGGAAGTGTAGTTGAGAGATGACAAAGTGAAACTGAGAGATGAGGAGGAAGTGTAGTTGAGAGATGACAAAGTGAAACTGAGAGATGAGGAGGAAGTGAAGCTGGGAGGAGAAAGAAAAACAGTGTGAAAGAAATCACTACCAAAACCATTACTTCTACTGTAGCACGCACACTTCTAGATAGATATAATATATGCTCATATACTATTGGGTGCATGTCCACAGCGATTATACATGGTTGATATAGAATATTTCTGTATACTCAGGGAAGATAGGATTCAGTCAAAAGGAATTATATAATGTTTTTTCATTCTTCAGGCAAATAGAAATTACCATCCCAAGTTTCTAGTGTTCCTGTGTTTCATTTCACCTGAATTAGAATAGAGATGACATGAGAGCAGCCATCTAAACTGAGAAGAAGATTATACACATAATCAGAGCATTTTTTAGAAAGAAAAAAAGAGAAAAATGCTGGTACACATTACACAGTGTTTAGGAAAAGCGTTGGTATTTACCGCACTGTATCTATTACTTAGGAAAAAAGGTGCCAGTACGTGTACCACCAGGGGGAAAATCCCTGCACATGACTGCTGCAGGTTTCTAAATACTGACTCCATGAAGTAGTAACAACAGATTAACACAACGGGCATAAGGTGCTAGTATTTCCAGACCAACCAGCACTCGCCGAGTAATGTGGCCATCATCATGTCAGCCACCTTTACTTCCCACGACACTTTCTTGTAAAAATTTTTTGACTGGGTCGAGCTGGGAGCACCAGGTCAGTTATAAAATTGTCCGATTGAAGATTTGATCCTGACCACTCCTCTAGTGGGTTCCAGGGGCCTTATTTTAGGAGAAATAAAAACAGACCACGGCACCCTAACAAGCATGCCGTAAAAGGCCAGATTTTGAGGGTTGCTTCCTTTGAAGTCAGAGTGCACCTACCTCAGAAATGAGGAACCAACAGTCTGCAAACAAATAAGCCAGATCTGTAAAACAGATGTGCATGAAAAACTCAAGTTCTGCAGCAAGACTAAAGTCAAGAAGTAAATGAACAGCCAGAACTTCCTGCTGCTGTTTACAACTAGAAGACAAAGATTCCGACCAGGGAACTACAGTGGCTGGAAGATTGTATTAGTGTTTTATTAAAGATAACATTTGAAGAAAGGCAAAAGGAAATGAAACCAAAAGAATCATTGATTAAGAATAAATTATTTTATAACTGAGTTCAACAAAAGCGAAAGCAAACAGCATGCACAAATCAGTGGACTACACAAGAATAATAAAGAAGAGCAGAAACATGACAGCAATGAAAGCAACTAAATAAAAAAAAAAAAGCAAAAGAACACACCAGTTTCTGTGTGTCACATTTCTTTGAGACTAACAGTAACTTTTAGTATTTCTTGAAAAAAAAAAACCCCCAAAAAAACAATGCGAACTGGAAACAGTGTTTTAAAAAAAGACTATGTTTACATCAGGAATGAATAAATGCATTAATAAATGAAGAAAACATTTGTTTCTTCTTCAAGTTCACCGGCTGTAAACTCAGGCAGAAAGTTCTGGTTGTTCATCCACTTCAGGATTTCAGTCTTATTCCAGAATCAAGAGTTTTGCATCCACATCCGTTTTACAGATCTAGCTTGTTTCACAGAAACTGTTGTACCTTGACTCTCAGGCAGATGCTCTCTGACTGTGAAGGACAAATCATGAATTGACCTCACTGCACTCGGGACATTTTCACACGTGCTACATCTCTTCTCTTAGTAGCCACAGAAGAGTCGCCATGCTAACTGAACCAGTACCTTTTCTGGTTCCATTTCTAGATCCACCTGGGAACCTACACCTTCTTCTGCATCTGGGAGGTTGGCATGCTGTGTTGTGAGGTATACAGACAGGCTGTGTGCAGTATCCACACCTCTCAGTCCACCACACCTGGTTTCAATCAGTCAGTTTACTGGTACCATCGAAACTGGAACTCTTTGTTTACTGCTGAATATGGGGACGTAGCGCTTATAGAAGTGTCCTGAGTGCTGTGACGCGCATTCTTAACTTAACATTCAATTTCAGCAAACCAAGAATCAAAGGCCCTTTATGAAATGCTCATTAGGAGAACAGTGGCTTTATCCACCTTGTCCATGTCATCATTTTCAAATATTCCCAGTAAAACAATGAATAATATTAACACTAAAAAAAGCCTGAAAGAACGTCTGCACATTTGAACAACATATCAACATTAGAAGAGACAAAATAACTTTTCTCACCATGACGAAATAATTATATCCTTTAAAAGTTTGTTTACAAACATCCCAAACAATGCATGATATGTGATCCACCAGTGTCCATGTAAATCAAACAAAACTTTGTATGCTATTATATATATTTTTTAATTTAGTCTAACTTACAAGATCTGGCCAGATCTATTGACCTGGCCTTGATGTGACTAACACACTCTCTAAAAGAACCTGCTCTCAAACCCTTTAAGTGCCAAACAGTAGATGACTTAAACCATCACCTGCATGCACTGCACACTCTGAGCCCCCTCTCTCTAATACTGTAGCTCAGTCATACCTAACCTAGACATGACTCTGCAATTCACTTCAGCAACAAAGCACATAAAGCACATGAAGAGCAAAACACATGCAAGCATTGTCCAACCATGCCATCAGTTTGTCAATATCAACTGTATATCAATACGAACAACATACAACAAAAAGTGAAATAACACCCCTTAACACATCTTGGGTAAAAACAAGAAATAGATAAGCCCAGCAGGCAGAAGAAAAAAACACCTCATAAGAACAGACAATTGTAATATTTAAGAAAAAAAAATGCTGAAAAACTAAGTATTTTAAGAACCTAAAGACAACTTTTAAAAACTTGAGGTAAAGTAATATGGTATCTTATAAATCTAGAGCGCACAATAAAACTGTAATGTAAAAAAAAAAAGCAGTAAAATGTCTTCTCTTTAATATATTACTTGATGTAAAAAACTTTTTTATGTGGGGGGAAAAAAAAGGGGGGGGGGGGGGGGGGGGAGTTGAGGTGAGTGTCATGATTCAAAGAATGCAACTTTAACTCTAAATACCAAATATAATTACATATGGAAATGGATAATGCAAGATCAGCTCTATAGATATTCATTATTACACTTGATCAATTTTATTCAAATTGGGGCCCCATTTTTCGGAAGGAAAGAATAGACCCACAGCTATTTAACAAGCATGTTATAAGAGATTAATAACTATGGATTTGCTGAAACTGGATGTGTGGGGCTAAAAGATGCTGATATCGCAGACTAGCTGTAAACCACATACAATGTGCAAACCAACCCTTATAAAGAAGAAGAAGAAGGAGAAGGAAGAGGAGGAGAAGAAACACCATAGAGGAATAACTCTAATTTTATTATTTACATACTGTTATTTTTTTCCCAATTCACAACTAAATTTATTAAACCTTATATGGTTGTGAAAAAAAAAAATATAAAAAAATTAAGCATCATTTGGAAGGATATGCCAAAATGAGTTGTTTACCTACTGTTTTTATTTAAGAATTCACAATTATTTAATTACCTTTATCTGTGTACAAGTAACGTCATTAGTCATCACTTGGAGAATATATAAAAACATTTCTTTATTATTTCCATATTCACATCTGCATGTACTGAGCATAACGTGGTTCTGAAATATTCATTTAATCAAACAAAACAAAGGCAGACTACGAACTGAGTTAGTGAATTAACAAAAGATTTCAGCAGGCTGATGCCCTTCCACCTCTACAATCTGAAAAAGAAGAAAAAAACTTGCCCAAGAAATAGTGAGAGTTAATGGAGCAAAGCTGCAGTTAGTTGCATGTGCTGACATATAGACTACTCCTTCACTATGGTGTTAACAATTTTAACAGATCCCTTTCTCTCATATCAACATAATTTGTTAACTAGTAATAGCTGTCCAACAAGATAATAATTAACTGAAGTTTCATCTTTAGGTCAATTATACTCTTTCCCCTCCATGAATTGATTAAACTCATGTTTGTGTGTTTCAGTCAATACTTTGCAATGAAATTTAAACAGACTCCATTGTTTTTCCACTAGCTATCCACATCTTAACACAACATTTTTAAGTCCCTCTTACTCACATTTCAAATGAGGCTCTTTAGATAAGACTTTATGTTGAGTTCCTAAAATATAAGGCTCTTTATAATGAGATTCTTTATAGTGGGGCTATTTATAAAGAGACTCTTTAAGGTTATGCTCTTTATGGTGAGATGTTAGGATGAGTTCATAATAATGAGATTCTTTATAATAAAGTCTTTATGCTGAGGCTCTTTATGGTGAGGCTCTTTATGATGCATCTTTAGGATGAGTTCATAATAATGAGGCTCTTTATAAATATATTCTATATGCTGAGGCTCTTTATGACAAGTATTCAAGATGAATGTTTAATCATGAGGCTCTTTATAATCAGGTGATGTATGGTGATGATCTTTATGATGAGTACTTAATAATGAGTCTCTTTATAATTAGGTTCAATATGGTGAGGCACTTTACGGTTATCAAGCTGAATTTAAACTGAAATATTTGCCTTCACATTTGCACAGAATCCGCTTTAAGTGTTCTAATACAAACACCCAAGGTTACGTCTATATGTCAACTCAGTGCCAGGTTAGAAAGCAGGAAAATTAGTGGCAACAGACTAACCTAGTCCTGTCCATTAGCTGGTCACTGAGTGCGGCCAGCTGACTTGAGCTGTCCCCAGAATTTGCGGTCATCATCTCCGACAACTGTGCCTCCTGATGTCATCAAAATGCCCACATCAACATCAACACAGACAACAGTGAAGGAGAGGAATGGCAATGGGGCGTGTTGTGTTGACAAAAAATGATCGGCGAAAATGCTAACCTCAGAACAATACCACTATAGATGTTTAATTGCATGTTAGTTGACGATGCACATAACCACTAAATGTCCAAGACATTCACAACAGAAACATCTGGGGGGGGGGGGGGGGGGGGAAGACTTGAGAAGACAAGGCAGAAAACAAAGTACATACATAAAGTCCCCATAAGGGTTCTGGGGCCACAGTTTGGGGGGGGGGGGGAAAGAACAGACCCACTGTCCCCCTAACAAGCATGTCGTACTAATTAAGGATGTTTCCTTCAGTCAGAGCATATCTGCCTGACAGGCAAGGACACAACAGTAAAAAGATGGAGAGGACATGGGGAGAGCTACATGGGATAGCGATGGATAGGACGACTTGGCGTGAGTTGTTCGAGGGCTCATGCTCAACTGGGGGTTAGAAAGGCAGAAGAAGAAGAAGAATACTGCAGTACTTTTTTAAATTAAAAAATTTGTTTTTTAAACCTATAAATGACATAGGAAAAGCAAACAGCTGCTTTGCATAGGCAGCCCTAGTACTGTGGAACAAATTTATTCCCACTGCCTTTAATCACACTTTTAAGCTAAATGAAATATAAAATGTTCTGCAAAAACACACAAGTACAGATAAAAAAACCGGATGTTTCCTTAAAAAAAAAAAAAATTATTAACTCTTAACAATCCATTAAAAATAAAAAATAAAAAATAAAAATATCAAATGAAATTTAGACTGAATGAGATTCACAAATATGGATAACTGTTGCACTGTGTCAAGGCAAAAAAACATGAAATTCTCAATCCACAAAAATGAGTGCTGGAGACAACACATATTGATTGAACACAACAACTGTTAAATCATTCATATAAAGCATATGACTAATAATCATTCACATAAACAACCAATCAAAACATCAGCTGCATGGAAACACTATATCTTTAGTTATTTAAAAAAAACAACAACAACAACAAACACACTGTATACGAAAAGTTGTAGCAAAATGAATGAACCTACAAGGAGACAAAATGACAAGAGTGGTCCAACAAATCAATCGAAAAAATAATGGACTCCATCAAAACTTAACTCTACCTAAATGAATTCAGAAGTTTTGCTAATCAGTAAAAAAAAAAAAAAATTTATTCTTCTGTATTGAATTATCTTCAATTCTATGACTACATTAAAATGAACATTCAAAGCTAGCAGAAAAATCTGTCAAAATCCTCCTAAAATAACTAGAAACGCACAAACAGGCAGATGAAGATAAAATTTGCTGGACCACTCTTTTTTAATTGTCCAGGCCACACTGCGAAAAAAACGAGATCACTGGCCAGCTGACACTAAAGCAAATGCATGACACTAGGACGATTATTACTGATAAGGATGCAATGATGCACAAATAATGATCACCCAATTAACAAGATAACTCAAAAACACCTGAAGCTGTTACAATTAGTGTGCACATAGATGAAAACTATAAAATATCCAGCAGAATGACCGGCTAAGTTGTGTTGTTGTAATTAGCCATTTAACAATGGGAACCTTATATGGCAGTGGTTCCCAATTTTTGGTCGGGTGACGTCCGAGGTCCTCTGAACAAATTTAAGGGTTCTGTGATATTGTTTACACACCCACACAAAAAAAAATTTTAAAAACTCTTTATTCCTTATCCACTCCTTCAGGTAAACAAGGCTAACTTATATTTTAAAAATTCGGTGGGTAAGGTAAGGACCTCCCAGAACTTACCTCCATTCAATGCTGGGTCAACTTGGGAGCTAATGTCATTTTTGAAAAAAAAAAAAGTCCAGACTTCCTCAGGATCTTCGGATCTGCGCACCCATATTCTTACAAACCAATCAGCACTCGGTGGGTAATGTGGTCAGCATTACGCCGGCCGTCTTTACTTTCCCAGGACAGCCCATCCTGGTACCCATTTGAGGCTGGGTCGACCTACGACGTCTCTTACCACGATGAAAATCCACGCAGCCCACGCAGGTTTCGATCGCGGTCGGTTGGATTACGAGTCAGACTCGCAACGCCTTAGCCACGGACGCCGCAACCTGACTTATGCAAATCATTTATTGATGCTTATTTAGATTGTCCTCAGACCGGAATGATCTATCTGCACCTCTGCATTGTTCACCCCTTCACCAAGGGCAGCCACAATATTTAACTAGTCAGACATCAATTTACCACCAAGTGGTGCACAGCCAGCCAGTCTATCTGTATGCTCATTTTCCAACTCAACGGCATGACCTGGAAAAAATATCCAAAGGAAGCTAACTACCCGGGACCTCTGAAGTGATGCTTGCCACTCTGCACAAATTATGCCTGTTGTACCTTTCTCAACATGCTCTGTGAGTCAGTTACAATCACGGCATGTGTGTACAGCTGATTCTCAAGCCAGCGGAAGGCAACTGCCTCCACCTCCATTCTCAAACTAGACGCTGTGATATCATATGCAAGGCTTTGCTGCCCTAGGCGACGTCCATTCACCTTTGCCATGAACCCCCATCATAATCATCATCAGGTGCCTTGCCGACTGGCGTGGGTGATCATGCTTCTCCATAATCTGCGATCTCCTGCAGCATGTATTAGTTCGTGTGCCGACACACCTCCATGCCATGCAATAAGGCCGTCAAGCATCTTCTCTTGTTGTCTTCCTCTATGACAACACTATTTTGCATAATATATGGTCTACAAAGACTTTCTACAAAGAATACATGCGAGAAAGACTATTTTCCATACTATATTTTCTACAAAGAATAAATGTGAGAAGGACTATTTTCCATATTTTCTACACAGATTTCCTACAAAGAATAAATGTGAGAAAGACTATTTTCCATATTTTCTACACAGATTTCCTTCAAAGAATAAATCTGAAAAAGACTATTTTCCATATTTTCTACACAGATTTCCTACAAACAATAAATCTGAGAAAGACTATTTTCCATATTTTCTACAAAGATTTACCACAAAGAATAAATGTGAGAAAGACTATTGTCCATATTTTCTACAAAGATTTCCTACAAAGAATAAATGTGAGAAAGACTATTTTCCATAATATATTTTCTATATAGACCTCCTATTTTCCATTATATATTTTCTATATAGACCTCCTACAAAAAATAAATTTGAGAATGATTTTTTTCCAGAAAGTTTTCCCCAAAAAAATATAATCTGAAACACACTTATTGCTTTTGAAAAATGTTTCTTATGAGGCCAACGGAGTCCAATTAAAAACCCATTATATTGACTATACTAAAAAGAAAACTACATATGAAGCATTTATAATCTGGTAGCTGCTGCAGTGTGGCTGCTAGATGTTCGCCTCGGGCCTGAAGGCTGTAGGTTCGTACCCGCATCATTCCAGATTTGTTTTTTTTAAAGAAGAAAGAAAATGATCTTGGCTTCCAGACTGACCCAGCGTTAAAATGGTACCAAGTAAAGTCCTGGGAGGTAAAGGTGACCGGCGTGATGTTGATCCTTGCAGGTAAAGGTGACCGGCGTGATGTTGACATCACCTACTGAGTGCAGACTAGTTTTTAAAAAATGCTGTATTTCCCCAAGTATAAAAAAATGCTCTCATGTATAAGGCACATTCTGATTTTGGGACAAAAAATTTAGAAAGAAATAAAAAACACTACCACAGTATAAGACGCACACTGTTTCTAGACCCTATCTTCTTCTTCTTCAGCATTCCGAGCCCTTGAGGTTTATTGCTGCAGATATCACCCACCTCCATTCATCTCTCTGTTTGGCCTTCTCTTTCCATTGGTCACACCAAGTGTTAGCAGGTCTGCCTGGACATTATCTCTCCATTGTCTTCTTGGTCTGCCACGTGTTCTATGACCATTCATCTCCCGTGTGTACACACATTTTCCCAAGTTTTAGACCGCATACTTAAGAAAATAATGGTGTCTTATATGTGGGGAAATAAGGCAGTTCTAGCATTATATGCCCTATATGGTAGCACAGGGTCCTGTACTTTTACAATTTGAAAGCCCCGGGCCTAAAGGTGGAATTATGTTCTGCGTAGTGCTAAAAACTGAATAAAGGAAGGCCAAAAAACACATAGAGAAGAGAGCTGGAGAATGAGGTTAGAAAGATTGGGAGGACATGGGGAGAGCTCCATGTAATGGCGAAGGATAGAACGACTTGGCGTGAGTTGGTTGAGGACCTATGCTCCATTGGGGGATAGAAAGGCAGAAGCAGAAGTGCTAAAAACTAGAGTTGTTTTTTTTATTTTTTTTATTTAAAAAATTCACCTCCAGGATGACAGCTTGAAAGACTAAAACCCTGTGATTCAATCAGCCACTATTCAGATCAGAATCTAACAGAAGCTAATCCAGAAAGCCTGCTTGACTGTAGAACAGTTATATTAGGGCACCCGACGGTTACTAAGCAGCCTGCAATCCAGGGCTGGTGGGATGTGTGGTTATACAATTAAAGAAGACAGAGAAAAAAAAAGGGGGGGGGGGTGGGGTGGGGGAAGTGTGCACCTCAGCAGGACTAGCTTAAACACTTGCAGAGAAGATGTAACACTAAAAATTGTCAGGAAATGTGGGGCCTTGATAGTCAAAAAACTAAATATTTCATTATCGGTGACTTCTATACTATAATGTATATGGGACTACTTAATAAACATTCATCTAAGACTTTTTAAATGAATTATAATATTCATATTTTGGAATATTTATTCACATTTTTTATTTTTAAAATAAAACAATTTGAAGGGAATTAACTGTTCAAGTAGGGGAAACAACCAAGCTGACAATATGTTGGAGGGATAATTTAAAACTGCTTTGAGGATCTAGCCTAGCAAATGGCATGTACAAGACAATATATAAACTATGATTACATTGAACATTAGCTGGTAGAAATTTTAAAACAAAATATATACAGGTTTATGCTGCATATAGATTTAAACATAAAAAAATTTGAATGAAATATGGGCAGAGTTAGATGGAACTTTGCACATACCAATATGGCTCTCTCGGAAGCCAATTCCTCAGCTTTGGTCTTGCTTGCTGTCAGCTGTCTTTGAAGATCTACAAAACAAGACAACTCAATGTTAAGAGGTAAATACAGCCAGGAGAGAGAGACAAATATGGGATAAGAGATGAGTACAGACAGGTGAAAGAAACAAGACAAATCTGTGATCAGAGATATATTTAAAAAAAAAAAGGACAGGTCACAGAAACAAAATGTCTGAGGAAAATGATGAACATAAAATGGGATGAATTTCACAGGAGTGAAGAAGTGATTCTGAATGCAGACTGGTGAGGTTTGAAGTGTCAACGGTTGGAAGTGTTCATTTCAATGCCCTGAGCAGGTAACAAATTAAAATGTTCTGTGTAGTTGCATCTTAGAAATTCTACCTCTGGCGCACTGACAGAGAAACATCATTGGAACAATAAAATAGAGTTGTTATCAGCTGTTCAGTGTTTCTCAATGTGTGTTCATATTTCAAGCATGATGTGTTGATGTACTTGCCAAAGGGTCTGAGAAGGCTGCATGACTAGAGCTAAGGAGAGTCAATGCAGAGAAGAAGAAGAAGAGACAAAGAGTAATAAGAGCAGAAGCCTATGTATACCTGCACTATTTGAATTAGCATTACGAATCTCATCCATCATTTCATTATGTTGGTTTTCTGTCAGCTTGAGCTTATCTGTCAGTTCTGAAAAACAAGAAGGAGCAATTAAGTGCATGTTCAGCCAGTAATGAACACAGAGCTAGTAGTCACACATCAGTAACTTCTGAAGCAGCTGTTACCCATCTGTAAATTTTCAGGCAGCTGTTACCCATCTGTAAATTTTCAGGCAGCTGTTACCCCTCAGGAAATCTGGAGCTAGTAGTCACCCATCAGTGAATCTGGGGGTCTCCGTGGCAAAGTGGTCAGCCTTGCGCTCTGAAGGTCACAGATTTATTTTACTGCTGTGTTGTTCAGTTCACAAGCGTAATTTCCCTGCAATACCCTGGGATCGTCACCGGACCTTCGGGGTTTATGCTTTGTGTGATGCTCTTGGCATGGGGGAGCTAGCCATTCTGCAGAAAGTGACCGAGCCATATGGGATAAACATCCAGTGCAATAAACTTAGTTCCGATGGTAACAGCAGCAGTCTGATTATATGTCCATCTTGCCTTTCCTCTGAGTGTACAGTGTCGACCACAGATCCCCTGGTCGCTGCTAGCTGTACCATTCTCCCCAGATTATAATGATATATTCACGCCTCCACATTATCCCTTCACTGCCAAAGGGCTTGACACTGCGGTTGCTACAACTGGTCAGAAGCGATGTAATCAATGTCATGTGCAGCACTTACAGTGACGATGAGCACGCCAAAGGGCATGACTCCGTATCCATGTCTAGGCTGATGGACATGGGGTGCAGCCTGGAGCTGCAAGAAATGAACATTTCACTAAGGGGACAAGACGTTTCATTAACCAACACAGAACAGGTGTCATCAGTCGTTTTACACTTGTGGAGCTTTTAAGGAGGAGATCAGAGCACCTATGGATCTGTCCAGAGTGCTATGATGATAATCCTTACTAATCACTAATCTCAAAGGGCCTGACCGCACCTAGATTGATGTACATAAATTCACAACCACTGGTGCAGCATCAGCGAATTTGTCTGCCTGATCCTTTCCCAATATGCCTGCATGCCTCGGAGAAAATATTCAAAGAACCAAAGCTAGCTAGTTTTTGTGGCTTTAGCACTCTATGCTAGGAGGTAGCCAACCTCATGCCAAACCTTACCTGCAATATTTTTTTGGTGTGGGTTTTGTGTGTTTTTTAAATTAGTCGTTAGTAGAGATTTCAACATCAAAGAAAACTGGAAGTAAAAATGCACAAGGCAGCCATCAGATGTGCCAACATAACAGTTCCACACCAGAACTGAAGCTCACTCTTGGTGCAAATGGTCAATTATGAAAGCCAGCATGGGACTCTGAAAAGATATAACTGTCCTTATCTATCACATTTTAAGATGACAAAGAACTGGCCGGGATGGGTATGTCATGCAATTGAGGATTTAGGTCCGCAGGTTAGGATTTTACTTTTGCCCAAAGAAAAAAAAATAAACACATTACTGAGGATCTGAACATGGGTCTCCATAATAAAAGCGCAGCGTTCTCAACCGCACAACCAGCCAGACAGTAATAATCAAAATATTCACACCACGGGGGCTTTGAACATATGATGCTAAACCCATACCTCTGAAAGACTTGTCAGCACTTTTATCTTTCAGTCTCAAGGAAAGCATCATATGTTCAGTTTCCTACCTAGAAGCCCAGTGAACACAAAATGTGCAGATTTTTTACTTCTCTCTTTACTAGCTCTTGGGCCTCTGATGCTAAACCCCCCTCCCCCATCCCCAGGACTGAAAGAGTTCAGAAGCAGTGTGGTCAACCTGTCAAATTTAGACAAGGTCCACCTAGGGATTTCGAAGTATTTACCTTTAATATATTCATCCTGTTTCTTCCTCTTCTCATTGCTTGCAAAGAGCTCTTCTTTCTGTGGATGGGAAACCAAGAAAAGAAATCCATTAGTCACCAAACTGTTAGAGAATTTATTCTCTTAATGATCATTTAAACATTTGAAAGATTTTGTTCTTTAATAGATGACCTTGTCAGCATCGTGGTTTAGGGGTTGCAAATGCAATTTTTAATCCTGAAATACCAGGCTCAATTCCAACTGCAGGCGATTTAGCAGCAGATAACTTTGCGCTGATTTCGACAATGGTATGTAGCTCTAGCTGTTCAGAAAGCAATAGCTAACTACTGAAAAAAAATTGCCTAGAAAAACCATAAACAGCTAGAAAGTTCTGGAGATGATTCTGGAACATCCTGCAGTTAAAAAAAAAAATTTATAAATAAATAAATGACCAGAAAAAAAAACACACATAAGCCAGCTCTATAAAAAGAGATGAACACACAAAACCCAAGTCCTGAAACACGACCATAGTCCAACAGCGCACAAACAACCAGAACTTTTCACACAAGTTTACAGCCAGTGAATGCTAAAAAAAAAAAAAGACCCTGCAAAGTGGTAAATTCCTGAACATAAGAGTACCTAGTAAAAACACATAACAACAATAAATGCTAGAGATTTTTTGTAACATCGTGAACAAGACAAATAACTAACTTTATTACTGTTACACTAAGGCTTTTTACTAGAAAAAAGGTGCTGGTATATAAACAAACAAATGAACAAACGAACAAAGAAACAAACAAACAAACACACACAAAATTACACCCACACACAACACACACACACACACAAAAGGGATGCGCTGGTATCCACCACTAAGTGTTAATTGTCAGTGTTGAAAAAAAAAAACTGGTATAAAAAAAAGGTAAGAAAGTAAAAGTCGCTTTTCCACAACTTTAGAGATATAGGGCTAGACCTGTATTTTTATACACCAATTGGCATAAGATGGGTGATGTGGTCAGCATCTCGTTGGCCGCTTTTACTTCCCAGGAGTGCATGCAGTACTCACTCAAGGCTGGGTCGACCTAGGTGTCAAGGTCATTTTTTTAAAAAGTCCGGCTCCACCAGGAAGCGAACCCACGACCTTCTGATGCTAGATGCTCATGTGCATAGCTATGGCGACTTCAATAAAAAGCTACTGGTAGTATTATCCCTGCATAATGTCAGAAGAAAAAAAATTTCTGGCTACACCTAATGATTAAAACCTAATCTGAGATTCTTGATATAGTGTGGCATAAGTAAAAGTTAAGGACCCTTTTCCACGCCTTTAGGCGTATAGGGCATATAGGGCTAGACCTATATTTGCACAGACCAATTGGCACAAGATGGGTGATGTGGTCAGCATCACGCCGGCCGCCTCTACTTTCCGGGACTGCACCCGGTACCCACTCAAGGCTGGGTCGACCTGGGAGCCAAAGTCCTTTTTGAAAATAGTCCGGCTCCGCCAGGGAGCGAACCCACGACCTTCTGATCCGCGGGGAGCATCTAGCCACTCGGCCACAGCGACCCCCCATAGTGTGGCATGGCGAACCATAAACCAACTACATCTATCAGCAGGACACATGATGATGATGATATGATGAATCTTTAAAAGAACAGTTATTCAGCTGTAGTTAACAGCTATCCAGTATGGGAATGGAGATGAAGGCTGTCACTGCAGCTTTTCGATGTCTAGACAGCAGCATGGCTCGCGTAGAGTGGCCACATCACTCGATAAGACTCAGATCAGGAGCATATCATGGATTTTCTGTCCATGACATTCGGGTGTGCAGCACAATGAGCAAGCTGACAGAGCCTTTGTGGGAATTCCCCAGTGCAGTGATGTCAGTTCATGATTTATTCATACATTTAGTCAACAGCTAGGCTGTAATATTATCTTTCAGCTAAAACATATGATTACAACAAACCCTAAATAGGTCGTCTCTTACAACAAGCTTGTCAAGAATAAGGTCGGCGTCTGTGCTTTAGGCAATGTAAACACGCTTCAAAATTCTAAGTTGCCAGGTTCGATCCCAGGTGTGGGTGATTTGGCAGTAGGCCACCTTGTATGGGTTTCAACAGTGGCAGCAAAGAGCTAACCATCCAGAAGGCAGTGGCAAACGAACGAACGTAACACTGCCTAGTGAAACAATAGACAAAGAAATGCTAGGGTTGTCGTTTAAAGGCTACGCAACTAACTTTATTTTCTTGAGTTGTGTTTTGTTTTGTTAAGAAGCCGATGGAATTAGCCCCCCCCCCCCCCTTCATACCAACCGGGCCCTGAAACCCACATGGTAAGTTTGCACACACTACACTCACCAAATCGTTCAGCTGCTGTGACACAGAAGACAGCTCACGACGTTGTGCTACTAGCTGTGCCTCGAGGTCTTTCACCTGGTTCTGCTTCTCGGTCAGCTCAATGCCGACTTGGCTGACCTATTGGGAGGTTACAATGGTGATATTTGTTACTTGACAAACATTTTTCAAATTATATTTAAGAAAAAAAGAAAGATCAACCATATTATCCTTATGGAATAATAACATCAAGGTTCTTATGAAATGATAACATCAAGGTTCTTATGAAATGATAACATCAAAGTTCTTATGAAATGATAACATCAAAGTTCTTATGAAATAATAACATCAAGGTTCTTATAAAATGATAACATCAAGGTTCTTATGAAATGATAACATCAAGTTTCTTATGAAATGATAACATCAAGGTTCTTATGAAATAATAACATCAAGGTTCTTATGAAATGATAACATTAAGGTTTTATGACATGATAACATCAAGGTTCTTATGAATTGATAACATCAAGACCGAGCTCCAGGTATGAAGACCAACTTAGACAACACATTGGAAAAAATACACAGAAAACCCTCACATCTCATCCCAACACTTCAATAAATTCACTATAGGATGTAGAGGAGGAGAAGAAGAAGAAGAAGAAATCCTTGGCTCTCTCCTAAAGCCTCTCTTGTTCGCTCCTACCTAATCTACAAGTAGTGGAGCTTCCTGGGTAATCCAGTGGAAGGTTGGGGTCTACCTCTTGGAGGAAAACTGCATGGGACAACACAGACGATGAAGACAAAATTCAGTTCTGTCGGCCAGCCTCTGAGCTGACGATACAGTGCGTCAATGTGAACTGTGAATTTCATGGGAATGCAAATTATATGTGCTCCTGGAGATGTGTGCAGTAAACTGCCAATTCAGAAGTGGTTGACTGCCATGGAATTGGCAGTGTGTCTTGTGCAGTAATGTGTACATTATGCAGTAATGTGTATCTGCTGGTCTGTCATCATTGCTGCTTCCATCAACTATGAATTTCAATTCTACTGACACACTGTAGGTGTCGGCACCTTTGACGGCTGCCTTATGCACCTGGTGCCTGTAAGAACTGTTGGATTTTCCTGGGACTACTGCCTGTTTGACTTTTCTCATGAGACAGTGATAGGCAGTTTGTGTGGTTTTAACTGGCACATGAGTAAAACCATTATGGGGTGATCCATCTGCGATGACGTTGGGACCCAAACTGAAAGTGTGAGAGTCTGTTATAGGGGAGATAAGTGGCTATAATCCCAATCTACAGCCCAGGCAGACCTGGTCTGTCATGTGTGGACTATCTGAAGTTTTACAAAATAAGAAATATGATGGTCAGATTCCCTCTGATACTGGCGGTTTACTGATCACTGATTTAAGAACTCACATCACTGCATACTGGGCATACCCAAAGATGCTCCATCTCCCAGGAGCAAAGGTCTTTAGGTATAGATGCTAACAATTTCAGAGATGCTAACTATTTCAGAGATGCTAACAATTTCAGAGATGCTAACAATTTCAGAGACGCTAATAATTTCAGAGATGCTATTTCAGAGAAGCTAACTATTTCAGAGATGCTAACTATTTCAGAGGCGCTAACTATTTCAGAGACGCTTATAATTTTAGAGATGCTAACAATTTCCGAGATGCTAACTACTTCAGAGCTGTTAACATTTGTGTTTAGTCTGTGTCTTCTCAGACGCTCAGCTCTGATCCTCTCTGCAATCATTTTTTCCTTTATTCTTATTCCCTTCTTGATGTGCCCACTCCACAAAACACGGTCCGTGGCAGGAGTCCCACCTCAATACTCATGCCACACTTGTCCATTTTAACCCTTCTCAACAGACTGAGAATCAGACACTATGGTTCCACTGGTAACTCTGGGAAGTGAATTGACTGTGAGTGTTAAACAACAAACTATTACAATGTGAATGAAAACTAAACAAACAACTTTGACAATGTGAATGTCAAGCTGAAAAAAAAAAAAAAGCAACTTTTACACAGTGAGCAACTTTTACATTGTGAGTGTTAAGTTTAAAAGAGCAGCTTTTATAATGTGAATGTCAGGTAAAAATAGTAACATTTACAATGTGAATTTCGGGTAAAAATAGTAACATTTACAATGTGAATTTCAGGTAAAAATAGCAACATTTACAATGTGAATGTCAAGTAAAAATAGCAACATTTACAATGTGAATGTCGAGTAAAAATAGCAAAAATTATAATGTGAATGTCGGGTAAAAATAGCAACATTTACAATGTGAATGTCAAGTAAAAAATAGCAACTTTTACCATGTGAATTTCGGGTAAAAATAGCAACATCATAATGTGAATGTTGCGTACAAATTTACCATCTGAATGACACACAAAATGTAAATTAAAGAGCCTTGATATGTCATTAGGGCATCGAGCATATAATGCTAGAGACATATTTTCACAGACCAATAGGAACTTGATATGTGATATGGTCAACATGATGCCGGCTACCTTTACTTCCCAGTTTATATCCTGAAATTCATTGGGTCACTTTGGAACTCTAGATTATAAACAAATCCAGTCTGATGGGGATTCAAATACTTTTACAACATGTCTGATCTACACAAGCTACCATCAACCAACCTTGGCTCCATCCTCTAGTCGAGTCATCTCAAAGTTCTTCACCTTGGACTCTGCCTGGGCCAGCTTGTGTGTTAAATTCTCAAGCTGGTCTGAATATGATCTCTGTGACTTTTTGGATTCCTCTGCTACCCTGTGAAGGCCCTCCATGTTTTGCTGGTAAAAATACAAGATGTACATCTGACATGTGTTTAGAAGGAAGGTGTCATGTTGACTACAGATGCTTTGTTAATGCTTCTTTACATGAATGCAGAAGAACCGTGTTAATTACACAAACTTAGCACCTGTTCGTTTACGTGTTGTTAGGAGAATTTTGTGATGAGCACAACACAATTATGCTCCAGAAGAAGAAGAAAAGGAAGAGGATAAGGAGAAAAAGAAGAGAAGAGGAAGAGAAGGATGAAGAATAAGAGTAAGAGGAGGACGAGAAGGAGAAGGAGGAAGAAGAAGAAGAGGAAGAGGAGTAGGAAAAAGAAGAAGGAGGGAGGAGGAGAAGATGATCCCTAGACAACAGAAACAATGTTTAAAAAAAAAGATTAAAATTAGCAAATTTTTTTTAAACAAGCAAATAAACTGTAACAGTACAAGCCAGCCAGCCAATGGCGATTCACTGTTACAGTACAAGCCAGCCAATGGCAATTCACTGTCATAGTACTGTAATAGTACAAGCCAGCCAATGGCAATTCACTGTTATAGTACTGTAATAGTACAAGCCAGCCAATGGCAATTCACTGTTATAGTACTGTAATAGTACAAGCCAGCCAATGGCAATTCACTGTAATAGTACAAGCTAGCCAATGGTGATTCACTGTAATAGTACAAGCTAGCCAATGGTGATTCACTGTAATAGTACAAGCCAGCAAATGGCAATTCACTGTAACAGTACAAGCCAGCCAATGGCAATTCACTGTAATAGTATAAGCTAGCCAATGGCGATTCACTGTTACAGTAAAAGCTAGCCAATGACAATTCACTGTTACAGTACAACCCAGCAAATGGTGATTCACTGTAATAGTACAAGCTAGCCATTGGCGATTCACTGTAATAGTACAAGCTAGCCAATGGCAATGCACTGTAACAGTACAAGCCAGCCAACGGCAATTCACTGTAATAGTACAAGCCAGCCAATGGTGATTCACTGTAATAGTACAAGCTAGCCAATGGTGATTCACTGTAATAGTACAAGCTAGCCAAAGGTGATTCACTGTAATAGTACAAGCTAGCTAATGGTGATTCACTGTAATAGTACAAGCTAGCCAAAGGTGATTCACTGTAATAGTACAAGCCAGCTAATGATGATTCACTGTAATAGTACAAGCCAGCCAACAGCAATTCACTGTAATAGTACAAGCCAGCTAATGATGATTCACTGTAATAGTACAAGCTAGCTAATGGTGATTCACTTTAATAGTACAAGCCAGACAATGGCAATTCACTGTAATAGTACAAGCTAGCCAAAGGTGATTCACTGTAATAGTACAAGCCAGACAATGGCAATTCACTGTAATAGTACAAGCTAGCCAATGGTGATTCACTGTAATAGTACAAGCTAGCCAATGGTGATTCACTGTAATAGTACAAGCCAGCAAATGGCAATTCACTGTAACAGTACAAGCCAGCCAATGGCAATTCACTGTAATAGTATAAGCTAGCCAATGGTGATTCACTGTTACAGTAAAAGCTAGCCAATGACAATTCACTGTTACAGTACAACCCAGCAAATGGTGATTCACTGTAACAGTACAAGCCAGCCAACGGCGATTCACTGTAATAGTACAAGCCAGCCAATGGTGATTCACTGTAATAGTACAAGCTAGCCAATGGTGATTCACTGTAATAGTACAAGCTAGCCAAAGGTGATTCACTGTAATAGTACAAGCTAGCTAATGGTGATTCACTGTAATAGTACAAGCTAGCCAAAGGTGATTCACTGTAATAGTACAAGCCAGCTAATGATGATTCACTGTAATAGTACAAGCCAGCCAACAGCAATTCACTGTAATAGTACAAGCCAGCTAATGATGATTCACTGTAATAGTACAAGCTAGCCAAAGGTGATTCACTGTAATAGTACAAGCCAGCTAATGATGATTCACTGTAATAGTACAAGCCAGCCAACAGCAATTCACTGTAATAGTACAAGCCAGCTAATGATGATTCACTGTAATAGTACAAGCTAGCTAATGGTGATTCACTGTAATAGTACAAGCTAGCCAAAGGTGATTCACTGTAATAGTACAAGCCACCCATTGGTGATTCACTGTAATAGTACAAGCCACCCATTGGTGATTCACTGTAATAGTACAAGCTAGCCAATGGTGATTCACTGTAATAGTACAAGCTAGCCAATGGTGATTCATTGTAAAAGTACAAGCTAGCCAATGGTGATTCACTGTAATAGTTTAAGCCAGCCAATGGCGATTCACTTACCTTAAACTGACCCAACTCCTTCTCCAGATTATCAGCCCTGTCTTTCTCCTTTTTCACCTGCCGTTCCAGCTCTTTCACCTGTAGTTCACTGGCAGCATTTGATTTACTCTGTCATAAATCAATGATACTTTAAAAGTCTGTGTTTTACTCGATCATAGTTTATAGATAACAATACATGTGGATAGAAAATATTCCATTAAGAACCCTTCTTACGCATCTGACGCATCGGGCAATTGATAAAGGAATTTGTAGGAGATACTGTCATCGATTGGGTAGACAACACGCAATTGGAGGTCGGTTATATACTGTGCACATTAGGAGAAGTGGACAAAGAATCACTAAACAGGCAGAAATTGGAAACAAATTGACTGAGGATATAAGGACATTCAAAAAAGAAACCCTAAGACGAACGCTGACGAGAGGCCCAAAGGTACTGGTCTGGATCCCATCCACGATACTGAAACAACCAAACAGGATAGAACAGAATGGACGAATTAGCTGTGAGCCTGATGCAATACCACATAAAGGTACATCAAGATGAAGATGTTTAATCACACATAATACTTATACTAATTACCTGTAATCATTACTTCATTCAAAAGTTAATTATACACTATTTTATGTTATCTTATGTTATCACAATCGAGACATCTTTGCAAACTGGGCATCCCCATGCTTGCTCAGTCTTCCGATGCAGCAGCCACTCCAAGGTACCGATACTGATTGTTCCCATGAGGAGTTGGTTATAATATCTCCTGTCTTTATTTTGAAGACGACATAGATTTGCTTTAGTAAGCTCAACTCCTCGGTCACGGAGTCGTGTTAGCGCCAGAGATTCACCATTATCTCCCAGCCTAGTCGGTACAGCGTTGATCATATCAGCTCTGTCCATGCTTCTTGCCGTTTGCATTGGCGCATACGCTGCCAGTCTGTCAGCTCTTTCATTACCATTTACTCCTGTGTACCCAAGTGTGTAGATCCAGATAATGGAGATTAACTGCGAATTCCGAATGCTTTCTAACCATCTACTCTTTATAGCACACACAGCCACCAAATTGCCACAACATACAACATCCACAGAACGTAAACCAAATAATGTGAGAATGTTGGATTAAGAATCGACATCACAGCACTCCCATAAGTACTAATTCCCCATCTTCAGCAGCAAGTGAAGAGTTCCAATTTTGTTGGTACCAGTAACCCTCTGATTGTATATCAATCTCATCCTTCCCCTGAGTGTTGAGCGTCGGCCACATTACATGGTAACTCCTTGCAGCGCTATTCTCTTTAATATGAGAATCAACACTGAAAAAACAGAAGTGATGTCAGCAGGAAGACAGAAGCAGAACCAAAATATACCAAAGGTATTAAACCAGCATCTGAGTTTAAATATCTGGGAACAATATTCACTGGAGATGAAGAAATGAACATCCGATACAGTCAAGCAAACCAAGTATTGCGACAGCTAGACCAGCTATTACAGCTTAAAGCAATCACGATCAGTGAATCTCTACAACAACATGAAGTGTCTATGGTTGGGACTGCCAGAATGGCAACAAGTAGAGAACCTTTTATCCTCTTGACACTGAAAGCAGTAAAAAAGGAAGGGAAGAAGAAGTAGAAGAAGAACCATTTACTAATAATCATCTACACTACCTACTTACATTCAGATATTACTTAATTCAACAATTCACTACATGCTAACAATCATCTACTAATAATCATCTACACTACCTACTTACATTCAGATATTACTTAATACAACAATTCATTATATGCTAACAATCATCTACTAATAATCATCTACACTTCCTACTTACATTCAGATATTACTTAATACAACAATTCATTATATGCTAACAATCATCTACTAATAATCATCTACACTACCTACTTACATTCAGATATTACTTAATTCAGCAATTCATTATATGCTAACGATCATCTACTAATAATCATCTACACTACCTACTTACATTCAGATATTACTTAATTCAGCAATTCATTATATGCTAACGATCATCTACTAATAATCATCTACACTACCTACTTACATTCAGATATTACTTAATTCAGCAATTCATTATATGCTAACGATCATCTACTAATAATCATCTACACTACCTACTTACATTCAGATATTACTTAATTCAGCAATTCATTATATGCTAACGATCATCTACTAATAATCATCTACACTACCTACTTACATTCAGATATTACTTAATTCAACAATTCATTACATGCTAACAATCATCTACTAATAATCATCTACACTACCTACTTACATTCAGATATTACTTAATTCAACAATTCATTACATGCTAACAATCATCTACTAATAATCATCTACACTACCTACTTACATTCAGATATTACTTAATTCAACAATTCACTACATGCTAACAATCATCTACTAATAATCATCTACACTACCTACTTACATTCAGATATTACTTAATTCAGCAATTCATTACATGCTAACAATCATCTACTAATAATCATCTACACTACCTACTTACATTCAGATATTACTTAATTCAACAATTCATTACATGCTAACAATCATCTACTAATAATCATCTACACTACCTACTTACATTCAGATATTACTTAATTCAACAATTCACTACATGCTAACAATCATCTACTAATAATCATCTACACTACCTACTTACATTCAGATATTACTTAATTCAACAATTCACTACATGCTAACAATCATCTACTAATAATCATCTACACTACCTACTTACATTCAGATATTACTTAATTCAACAATTCACTACATGCTAACAATCATCTACTAATAATCATCTACACTACCTACTTACATTCAGATATTACTTAATTCAACAATTCATTACATGCTAACAATCATCTACTAATAATCATCTACACTACCTACTTACATTCAGATATTACTTAATTCAACAATTCATTACATGCTAACAATCATCTACTAATAATCATATATGCTTCTTCTGCTTATTCTTCTGTCCTTTTATCACCCAAAGGAGCAAAGGCTCCCAACTAACTCATGCCAAGTCGCCCTATCCTTTGCTGTTGAATAGCAGCCCCCTATGTCCTCCCTATTTTCTGTCAAACTCCACTCTCTAGGTACATTCTCAGTGTTCCAGGTCTGCCTTTATTTCTTATGTCGCCGTCTGTGGATTCTTCTTCATCTTCTTCAGCATTCCGAGCCCTTGAGGTTCAGCTGCAGATTTCACCTGCCTCCATTCATCTCTCTGGTTGGCCTTCTCTTTCCAAGTGTTTGCAGTCTGCCTGGACATTATCTCTCCATCGTCTTCTTGGTCTGCCTCGTGGTTTAGGACCATTCATCTCCCTTTTGTATACGGTCTTCACTTCTTTGTGGCTTAGGCTTGGGAATACGCTTCTCAAAGCAAGCTCCATTCCAACCGGAGGCGACTTGGCAGCGTTGGTTTCGACATTAGTATCAAGAGCCAACGGTAAAGGAAGTAATGGCAAACTACTGAATTTAAATTTGCATAGAAAAACCACAACAGCCAAAAAATATTGAATTAAGAATCGACATCACAGCACTCGGAACACTCCCACAAGTGCTCAGTCCCAGACTTCAGCAGCAAGCGAGGAGTTCAAATTCCGATGATACCAGTAATCGTCTGATTGTATATCTGTCTCGCCTTTCCCTTTAGTGTTAAGCGTCGGCCAGATCCCCTGGTAACTCATTGCAGTGCCATTCTCCTCCGACCGTAATGATCTATCTGCGCCTCCGCACTGTTCACCTGCTCCCAAAGGGTCCTCTCAATATCTAACTTGTCACACATCAATTTCCCACCAAGTAGTGCAGAGCCAGTCAGTCTATCTTCTGCTCATTTCCCAACACACCGGCATGACCCTGAGAAAATATCCAAAGGATGCTAACAACCCGGGACCTCTGAAATGATGCCTGCCACTCTGCATGAAGCACAATTGTTTTCACCTTTCTCAACATGCTCTGTGAGTCAGTTACAATTGGTTCAGCAAAGTCAAGTAAAGGACACGCAACTAACTATTTCTATGACCATGTGGGTTGCGGTGCAAAGATAATCTAGCTATATTGTTCTCAGGCATTCTCTCAGTCCTAGTCAACAATAGCATCTTCTCTTCTTGACTCACCAGAATAAGCTCAGTTCTCTCCCAAAGCTTTACATCAGTGAGGTAATTAAACTATTCTTCTCCTTCTTCTTCTTCGTGTTCATCAGCTGTAAACTCTGGCGGAAAGTTCTGGTTGTTCGTTCACTTCTGGACTCCTTTCCTGATCCAGAACCTGAGTGCCGCATGCGCATCCATTTTACAGATCTGACTCATTTTTATGCAGACTGATGGTTCCTTGCATTTTAGGCAGAGGTCAGTCCAACTTCAAAGGAAGCTCCCAATTTGTCGACTCTCACGACATGCTTTTGGGCAGGCAGTAGGTCTATTCTTTTTTTTTTTGTTCCTCCTACAATGTGGCCCTAGAACTCTCGCAGGGAGTAATTACAAACACTGTAGGCGTTGCTTACTTCTATTCAGACAAGGCTTACAATCAATAACTGCTTTCTCCGTGTGGGTTCTGTGGGGTTCCACTGTGGATGGGCTGAGGGTGAACAGGGTTAACAAGTATGTTGTAACAGGCGACTGACTACTTAGGGGCGTTTTCCTTGAAATCAGAATGCATCTGCCGGAGAGGTGAGGAACCAACAGTCCATTCAGTTAGGCCAGATCTGTAAACTGGAAGTGCAGATAAAACTCAAGTTCTTGAACAAGACCAAAGCCAAAAGGTGGACACACAACCACCATTTTTTGCTGGAGTTTACAGCCCGTGAATGTGAAGAAGAAGAATAAGGAGGAGAAGAAAAACAAAAAGAAGAATTACTTACATATATTGAGATATTTTTACATAGTACAAACATATGGTTTTGATCAGATCAAAAGTAATTAAACAAATTGATAAAATGAACTTACATCGCTATCATCTTTCAATGTCTCTTCTTCCAACTGGAATTGCAAATCTTCAACTTTTCTGTGATGAAGAAAGCAGAGGATGAAAAAAAAAAAAAATAACAAACATTATATTTTAGCAAAGGCAAACAAGCAATAACTAACATACACATGATCATCATCATCATCATCATCAATGACTTGCACCTTTGCCACTAAGCATCGTGAGAAGGAACATTTTGAATTCCAGCCCTCTGAAAGCGGCACTGGTTATTGTCATACCATGTGGATGTATAATATCTAACTCTTTCAACAGCACTGGACAGTTACAATAGTTATAAATCAGTGCAGGACGTGTTTCTTGGTACCGAAAGAGTTAATGTCGCTAACCATCTTCCCTGTGTGGAGGAAAAAAGAACACAACCACTGCCCCCCTAACAAACAGGTTGCAGGAGGTGAATAATTTGGGTGTTCCCTTTGAAGTCGAAGCATATCTGCATGAGAGGCGAGGAAGCAACAGACTATGTACAAAGTAAACCAAATCTGTAAAACACATGTGCAGGCAAAATTGAGTTTCTAGAACAAGACTTTAGTCCAGAAGTGAATGAACAACCAATACTTTCTGCCAGAGTTTACAGCTAGTGAATACTAAGAAGAAGAAGAAGAAGAAGAAGAAGAAGAAGAAGAAGAAGAAGAAGCAGCAGAAGAAGAAGGAGAAGAGAAAAAAATAAGAAGAAGATGACAAATTTAAGAAATTAGGAGATGAAGAAGCAGAAGAAGGAGAAGAAGAAGAGAAAGAGGAAACGAAGAAGACAAATTTAAGAAATCAGAAGAAGACTTGAACTAAGACCAGTCACAGAGTCTATTAAAGAGCAACAGATGAGACGGTTTGACCATCTGATGAGAATGCACTGGTACAATGAACACTGACCAAGAAGAAGACCACACACAACATAGAATGATAGCATCACAAACAGCCTTAAAGAAATAGCAAGAGGAAAACCCCACACACAATATATAATGACAGCATCACAAACAGCCTTAAAGAAATGAAGATTAACTTATGCAACAGTAGAAAGAGCTGACAAGAGATTTCTACATTCTACACCCTCCACACACACACACAACATTCTGATGAGATAAATGGAGAAAGAGCAGCAGGAGAAGAAGAGAAAGTGAAAGGGTTCAAATATTTCCTCACCTTTTTTCTTCCTGAAGGAAGGCTAGGAGGAGAACAAGAAGACACAGTGAATGGATTCAAAGATTTCCTCACCTCTTCTCTTCTTCAAGGAAGGCTAGCAGTTCTTGTTTCTCATTCTCCAGATCAGCTACCAGTGCCCTGTATTTGATGATCTGGTCGTCTGCTTCCATGCGCAGCTTGCTCTGTTCTGTTTTCATGAAACTTAACTGGCTCTCAGCCTAGAAATTATTGAAGAAAATATATTCTTTTTTAATGTGAATTCTTCTTCTTCTTTCAAAGGGAGTAAAAAAAATGTGAAGTCTTTTTATTTTCAAGGAATAAAACAAATGTGCATTCTTCAACATTTTCTTTTGAAATGATATAGCAAAAAAGTAATAAAACTTGGGTGAATTCTTTTCCAACTTATTTTCTTTAAGGGACTAAAACAAATGTGAATTTGTCCATTTCATCATTTAAACAGACTGAAGCAAATGTCAAGTCTTACACTTATTTCTATTTTTAAAAAAAAGCTAAAACATTAGTGAATTATTCTATGTCTTTCTTTGACAGAACTAAAACATATGTAAATTATTCTATGTCTTTCTCTGACAGGTCTAAAACATACATAAATTATTTGATGTTTTCTTTAGCAGGACCAAAACATACATAAATTATTATGTTTTCTTTGACAGGGCCAAAACATACGTAAATTATTCTATGTTTTCTTTGACAGGACTAAAACATGTGTAAATTATTCTATGTCTTTTTTTTGACAGGACCAAAACATATGTAAATTATTCTGTTTTCTTTGACAGGACCAAAACATTCTACTATTCTACATTTTCTTTAAAAAGAAAACTAAGATAAATGGGAAATCTTCTACTTCTACTTTAAAGGAAACAGAAAAGGTTACAATAATCACAAAATACCTATTGATTGATTGGCACCTTTCCGTCTTTCCAGACGACAGTGTTATACTGCGCTATGAGGAGGCATGGGACTCATGGCCCGTGACAATGGCGAGTGTGACTAACAAGACCTGCCCGCATTAGGAAAAGTCTTCCACAACTATAGCATGTTATTTCAGGACCGTTATTGTCAATGTCTGGTTTCTTCTCAGAGGCTCAACTCTCATCCTTTCTGCAATAAGTTATTCCTTCATTCTCATTCCCTTCCCGATGTTCCCCCCTCCACACAACACGGTCCATGGCCTTTTGTTCCCACGAGTCCACATCAATACCTGTATCATTCATGTCCCGCTTGCACACATCTTTATATCATAATAGAGGTTGGCCTTGACATCTTCTACCTGTCTTTAAATCACCACAGAAGATGTCCATACTGACTTTGCCCTCCTCCAGGTGTGACCCAGCCACCTGAGCCTTTGTAGACAGCACTGAGAAGACTGAAAAAGACTGTTGTAATACCTACAAAATACCATTAATCGACCACAATCCACCCACAATAACTATAGGTGACTTCATAACCATATTGTTGTGCCCCAATACAACAGTGCTGTATGGTTGTACGTAACCGTGTTGTGGTGCCACCAATATAACTGTGCTATATGGTTGTATGTAACCATGTTCTGGTGCCTCAAATATCACTGTGCTATAGGGTTATAAGGCTGAACAGGGTCTCTTTGATTTGTAGTTGCCTGACACTGACACTCCAAATGATAATTTTTCAAAGCTACAGTGAAAAAATATGGAGAGGTAAAACTGGAAAGGGGGGGGGGGGGAGACTATACTCAAGCAAGAGAAACATTCGTACCTCATCTACGTGAGCTGCAGCCCTAGCCACCTCTGACCTCTCTAGGTCTCTCTCTCGGAGTAGTTGTTCTATATGTTCCTCCTTTTCTTTCAGTGCTTTCTGTAAGCAAGACACAGTATGAACAATTTATCCTTCTATGCCAGTTAATTCATAATCTTTAAACTTTTATACAGAATCAACATAACCACTGCTCACTTTGTCATCTAAAAGTTACTTTAAAAGTCTTCTTTCTTTCTTTATTTATCTCTCCCCCCCCCCCCCCCCCCCCCCCCTCCCCCAGCAAAGGGGGAAATGCAAAGGCGTCAGGTCTCTATGCAGGTTGTTATGCCATCCATGTCTTCACCTGATTCTATATCTAAGTTTACACAGAAATGCCAGCAGGCATCTTTCTAGTCTTGGTCCCCACTTGTGGCGAAAAGAATAAACAGTAACCCTTAACTTAACAAGCAGGTCGTCAAAGGCAACTAGTTAGTGTGAAAAGTGAAGGATCCTTTTCCATGCTTTTAGGCATATAGGGCTAGACCTATATTTTTTTATAAAACATCAGTACTTTGTGGACGATGTGGTCAGCATCCCGCTGGCCACCTTTACTTCCCAGGAGTGCACTCAAGACTGAGTCGACCTGGAAGTCAAGATAATTTCAACAACAAAAATCTGGCTTTGTCAGGACCCGAACCCAGGACCTTCTGATGCGCAGGCGGGTGTCTAGCTGCCAACGCTATGGCCACTCCCAACTAATTAGAGTAGTGATAAAACTGAATGTGTTAGGGTAGATAAATCGCAGCCTAGATGTGAACCATAATATACCAACTGCCCTTGAAGACTGAATGCAACAAAAAAGAAGTGAGTAAGGTGGAAGGTTTTAAAAGCAAAAACTTCAACAACAAACACAATACTAATTCAAATAAACTCACTCACACTGACCAAAAACCATACTTTCACACACATACAACAAAATGGCAGCGGCCAGATATTTGTTTCAATACCTCGCCATATCCTGTGCCAAGCTAACATATTTATTTTAAAAATCCTTTGTAATAAATCCCTTTTTTTAAATTTAGAGAAAACTTCCAAGCTATGCTTTAAAATGTAGCAACTAGAGGAAAATAAGCAGAAGACAAAAATTCAACAAAGAAAGATAATATTAAAAAATAAAATTTAAAAAAGTGACTTTAAAAAAAAAAGTTGCATTAAAATTAATTAAAATATTAGAAGAAAAGAGAAATTAAATTTTAAAATCTCATGTCAGGAAATACTAAGAAAGAATATAACAAATAATTATGGTAGAAAAATAGGGAACCAAACGCAGTTTCATGAAAACAGAGAAGGAATATAAGAGAAGTTTAAGAGTCAATAATATGTATAGACCTACGGAGACTGTCAAATCACCCTGGCTGGATGCCTGCCAGCCTAAAGGTCTTGGGTTTGGATCCCCATCCAGGAACAATATAAATGACCTGGTCTTCCCGGTCGACCCAGCCTAAAATTGGTACCCGGAAATATCCTGGGAAATTTATGGGGGCCGACCTGCTGTTGACCTCATCATGCATCGAGCTGGCAATCAACATAGGAGTCCAGCAGATCTTCTTTTTCTTCTTCTGCCGATGCTCAAACTTAGGGGAAAGGCGAGACCGATGTACAATAAGACAGTTACTGGTACAATCAGAATTGGAACTCTTCGCGTGCTGCTGAAGATGGGGGATGGAGCACTTATTGGAGTGTCCCGAGTGCTTTGATGTTGACTCTTAATTCAACATTCTTCTGCCTTTATCTGAAGAGGCAAACGTGTCGTGCCCGTTTACAACATGGCTGTGATATATGCACCTTTTGGCCGATACATCCAACTTCTGCAGGTATTTGTTGCACTGGTTAGCCCTCCCGGAGTCTAGGAATTACCCAATGCACCCCTGGCCTGAGATAGGTCCTCTACTAATTTTACTTATATATCACACAGAATCCACACAGTACTGTATCCAAACAGTACAGTATCCATAAAGTACATTATCCAAACAATACAGTATCCACTCTGTAGTAACAGCATACATTTGTTAAAAAAGCCATCTACTGTTATCTAAGTATACATATTAATAGTTTTCTTTTTCTAGTCAGCTTAACTAGGCTGTTAAATGTCAGCTACAAGTTGGAACAAAGAAGCAGGGGAAAAAATATAGCTATTGTAAAACTATGATAAACTACTATGATAAACTGTCCTCATTTCCAGCATTTACCATTCTGTTAGGGCGATGTAGCAAAAAGGGACCTTGAGCCTGAGGCTGGCATGGCTACTGTACTGGCCAGGAGATGTGCAGTACACTGAAGAAGGAGACGGAGCACGTGTGGGAATGTCCTGAGTGCAGTGATGTCAATTCTTGATTCACTCATTCTTTTTGTGCAGGTTAGGATTTGTATTTTCACTGATAGAAACCATTTTTATCACCTTACCAGTAACTCAAACCCGGGTCTAAACTAAGACAGCAATTTGGGGGTCTGCATGACTACATAGTAAAGCCATTCGCCTCATGCTCTGAAGGGAGTAGGTTCATTTCCTGAACTATGGTTTACAAGTGCAGTTTTTACAGAGATCATCACTGGAACTATGGACTTTGTGCTTTGTGCAGCACTTTTGATAAGCAGCATGCCATTCTGTGGAGTGAGACGAGCTAAAGAGGATTAAACCTGACACAACAAGAAAAGTTAGTTGCATATCCTTTTAGAGGACATGAAAGAACCAATTTCAGAATTTGCTGGCTGTTTGCAGATTTCACTAGATTCTGTTTAAGTTCAGTGGTCCTATCTTGATATATGAAAGTGAATCATGGACAGTTGGTAGATTATTGAACAATTATTTGGAAGCTGCAGAGATGAGGTTTTATAGGTGGATGATGAGAATACCCTGGACAGAAAAAAAAAAATAAACTGACTCACAAGGAGAACTGATTGCCCACATCAGAAAGAGACAATCTACATTTTTTTTGTCATTTGATGAGAAGAAGAAAGATGGAGTACATCATGACAGTAGGAAAGTTGGAGGGGAGGAGAGGCAGAGGGAGACCGCTGGACAGTTTGACATCATGACATGGAGGATGTTCTGTGTCAGAGTTGACTGAAAGTACATGGGATAGAAGGCTGTATATATACATGACTACCAACGCTACAAGGCATGGACTTTAAGAAGTTTGCTACTGCTTTCTAAAAAGTCGATTCTCGATATCACTATCGTAACCAATGCAAGGTGGTTTGCTGACAAATCATCTGCATCTGGTATCAAACCCTGCACCTCAGAATTACAAAGTGTCATCGCAACGCCTAAACCACAGTCACCGACATTTATGAAAGCAAGATCAAATAAGTTGGAGCCACAACCACCACTTATAGACCGCTGTGTGTCCTAAGAGGCATGCAGCCTTCCTGAACATGTGTGGATATACTACCCTGAATATGAAGGGCTGCAAACTACTAAGTATTCCTAATGCTGTCTTCACAGGCTTCTCTCATTTAGATCCTGAAGATGGACAACAATGGTGTTTCAACCATGATCACTAGTGCAAGCCACTGCGGGAATGTCCCAAGTACAGTGATGCCTTTCATCATTCATTCTTTGCTTGGATCAACCCTAACTATAACCGCAAGCCTAAGGGAGAAAAACATTCATGGATCCATTCATTCCTCATGCCTGGATCAGCCCCAACCATAACCACAAACCTTAGAGGGTATTTCCTGCACGCAGTGATGTCCAAGCAGGAATGTTCTGTATGATGTCAACCAATAACCGATTAATCCTTTGCCTGGATCAACCCTAAACATAACCCTTTACAACTGACAAGAAAAAAAAAACAGTACAGAACCGTATTCTGCAGCTTGCTAGCCAGATCTGAGAGTTTTGAAACAAGAGTGTGGTGGAGGGGGTAGGGCAAAAGGAAACTCACCTGCAGTGCAGCAGTTGTGGCAGACAGATTTAGCGTGTTGGGTCTCTGTCCAGTTTTGGATGCCTGTACAGTGAGGGGTGTTAACCAAACAAGTTAGGCTGCTATGTCTGCTACACTTTTCTTTTTTTACAGTTTTAACCCATGCAGCACCTAACAACTTCTACAAGACAAGACAGTGCTATCTATACACACAGTGGGGGGAGGAGGGGGCTTTTCAACTACTTTATATATCCAAACAGTGGAGCTTTCTGTGCATCCCTGGTAATGTTATACCTCTAAATCCACGAAGATGTTAGCTGTCCATATCCCTGGTGATTCTATTTCTCTAAATTCCTGACATTATAATTTGTCTATATTCCTGATGTTTCTATCTCTCTATGTCCCTAAAGACAATTTTTGTCTACAAAAAAAGACTGTTGAATGTTGAATTAAGAATCAACATCATATAGCACTCGGGACACTCCCATAAGCGTCCCCATCCGTCCCCATCTTCAGCAGCAAGTGAAGAATTCCAATTCCGATGGCAGTAGTAACTGTCTGATTGAATATCCATCTCGTTTTTCTCCTGAGTGTTCAGCGTCGGCCAGATCCCCTGGTAACTCCTCGCAGCACCATTCTCCTCAGACCGTAATGATCCGCACTATTCACTCGCTCCCAAAGGGCCCTCACAACATTTAGCTTGTCATACATCAATTCACCACCAAGTGGTGCAGAACTGCCCAGTCTGTCTGTCTGCTCTATCTGTTTGTCTACATCCATAATGAAGCTGCTTCGGTTCAGGACATTCAGTTCCATCAGGCATAAGTTCCAGTCAAACTTCAAAATTATAAAATGGCTGCTTTTCAGTAAGGGAGCTGCCGTGGTGTAGCAGCTAGACGTTCCCCTGTAAATGGGGAGGTCAAAGGTTCGGGTCCTGACTGTACTAGATTTTTTCAAAATGATCTGGGCTCCCAGATCCACCCAGCCTTGGAGGGAGACTAGGTGGAGTCCTGGGAAGTAAAGGAGGCCCGCACGATGCTGTCCCACTGAGTGCCGACTGATCTAGAAAATATAGGTCTAGCCCTATATGCCCCATACGCCTAAAGGCATTGAAAACGGTTCTTTCCTTTACTACTATCTGGTAGTTTGTAACACAATTCATGTAATGATTTGCAACACTATACCAGTTACAAGCTGCAAGCATTTGGGAACAACTGTGTGCAACTTATCATCTTGCAACAGTATACAAGTTATACTGCAATATCTGGTGCAGTCTGCAACAGTATGAAAGACAGAACTTTTTGGTATAGGTTTTAATAATTTAAAAGTTCCAACTGTATTCACATTAAAATGTTTTTGTTGTATACCTTGTACAAATTAAAAGTTGCAAGTGTTTAGTAAAACTTTTAACTGTTTACAAGATATCAGATGAACAAAATGGTACAGCTTGTAACAGTATAGTCAATTTTATATGCAACTATTTGGTGAAACCAGATATAAACTGCAACTATTTGATAAAGTTGTTAACTGTTTACAAGATATATGTCAAAACTGTTTGGTAAAGCTTTTTAACAGTGCACAAGATATTAGTTGCAACTATTTGCTAAGACTTGAAACCGTATGCATATATGCTAGATATTAAATTGCAAATATTTGGTAAAGCTTGTAATGGTATAAAATATATACATAAAAAATATTTTGTAAAGCTTGTAATAGCAGAAAACAGAGGCAATGGGTAATATTTGTAACAGGATAAAATGATAAGGTTGCAACTGATTTATAATGTCTATAACTGTATCAGTGAAACAGGTTATAATTTACAATTGTTGAAAAAAAAAATAATGTAAGATTAACTCTTTGAGTCCCAAGGAACGCATCATACGTTCATAGATTCCTACCTAGAGGATCAGTGAACGCATGATGCGCCGATTTTACGTCTCTCTTGACTACCACGTGGGCCTGGGATGCTAAACCCCCTCAAGACTCAAAGAGTTAAAGCACAATTTATAATAGTATAAAACATGATCAACCATAATCTGAAGAAATGTTTACCACAAAAATCAAGTGGCGCGTTTGAATCAATGGTTAACAGCTTTCACGTGAATAAAACAGGTGTACTGAATGATCTTTTGCTCTCAGCAACTAAACAGCGATAGAAACTATATGTGGTTTTTATAAACAACTGTATTGAAGTCCGTGGTTTTTTTGTGTGTGGGTGGTAAGCCGATGGAAGGCTTCCTGGCTGCAACATTCCTGTTGTCTTTTGTAATTGTGTCTTACTGGAAAGTTCTACTTTAGTATGGTTTGATTTTTCATAAATAATTGATGAAGCCTTTTTTGTGAAGTATTTTTTTTTTAAAGGTATTTAGTAACAAGAGAACTGACTTCTTTTCACCAGGATTTATTCCTTTAAGGCTTAGTCTCTGTCAAATAAAGTTTGTTCGTTCATTAATTCACAGAGTAGCTGTTCATCAGTTGAGAGTGTCGCACAAAGCACAACAGTACATAGCTCAGGTGATGACAAACAAGATGCCAAACCCACTGTCATATGATTATCACGGAGTAAACACCTTGTCCATGTTGTTAAACTGTCAACTGTATAAGATGAACAAGTTCTGATTAAAGCCAGACACTATAATTGTGGATCTTCATCACAATCAACCAGCATCCCCGAAGGAGGAGCTTTGGGTTAAAATTGTGACGTTACGTTACGTACACCATACAAAAATGGCTTAGCCCTGCATGTTACCCAGAGCCCTGAAAAGGACTCCTGCAGTGTCAGTGCGATTAGAGGAGACGGACTCAAATACTGTTCCGACCAGCAACAAAGTTGTCTGCCAGCAAGCCAATGGGTGACCCAGTCGCAGACACCCTGCTAGTGGTTTCCAGATGAGAAAGCAACAAGCCTCTATGAAAGCTATGGTGTGATGCATGCCCTCCACTGAATGGCAACAAGCCTCTATGAAAGCTATGGTGTGACGCATGCCCAACACTGAATGGCAACAAGCCTCTATGAAAGCTATGGTGTGACGCATGCCCTCCACTGAATGGCAACAAGCCTCTATGAAAGCTATGGTGTGACGCATGCCCTCCACTGAATGGCAACAAGCCTCTATGAAAGCTATGGTGTGATGCATGCCCTCCACTGAATGACAACAAGCCTCTATGAAAGCTATGGTGTGACGCATGCCCTCCACTGAATGGCAACAAGCCTCTATGAAAGCTATGGTGTGACGCATGCCCTCCACTGAATGGCAACAAGCCTCTATGAAAGCTATGGTGTAATGCATTTACACCCTGATTCCCATGGGAATGCTAACTGGCTAGAACTGGGATCTCCCTGCTGCAAGTTGAGATCATGCCAGAAGCATATGCACAGTATCCTGTGAAAAATGAGAAAAATTAGAAAAGTTCCCAGTCCTCGATCTCTTTCAGCACTGGTATTACAGAGAGGAGTTCCATGATGCTGTATTTCTCAGGTTTGGACCTCAAATGTATTCGGCTCCCATCAGACGTGTCCATCTTGCTCCCACCTGAGCTACTACCTGATGATACAACCATTACTGTGATTCCATGAGTCAAATCTTGGATGGCAATCCAACAGGACAAATCTCAGATACCCAGTTCCATCCAAAGAGGCCCTCTCATCCCACATAGTGTTTACTGTGATGTCCAAAGAAAGATGTGACTATTCATCATCATCATCATGCACCCCGTTTAAAACTAAGTGTCCACATTTTGTGGCTCATATGATAACCAGAATCAAAGATTAGGTCAGTGTTCTTTCTCAACCCCCATCAATACGGCTAAGCAATCCAGGTATTTATTTCTTTGCCTTTCAATAGCCTTTTTTCTATTGCCAGCTGCAACCAGAATCTGGAGCCCAATCTTTCTCGTAATACGTCCACACTAAAAACTGACAATCCACGTCTAACTTCTCGACTCAGTTTACGATTTTCACCTGTCTTGAGGAGGTCTACCTCACCTGATTTTCTAACATTCCACGATAGCTTTTTTTGCATTCTTCTTAAAAATAAAAAATAAAACATATCTACTGCCAGAAAATATTTTTCAGCTTGTCTGATTATTGTCTATGTCTTTCTTGCATATAACAACACAGGTAACCACTATACCCACAAATTACCACTTGCAATACTTTTACATAAATTATATACACAGAAAGGGAGCTGCCACTCTGGTGGCCAGATTTTTCAAGTCCAAATGTAAAAGTAAGAGAACACATTACTTGATAGCTGGGACTGATAGTCGAAACTATAAGGGGAAAAATACAACTTTTTTTTTTCCCCCATGGAGTTGATTGTTTATATCTAGTGTTGGGTGTTGGGTGTTTTTTGTATGCTTTTCACTATTTAGAATTACAAGGAAGCCCATGAAAATGACAAAATGTGACACAAACTGAGACCAAAAGACAGGAGGGGAAGAGAACTCACAATAATGTGATACAAATTACGGTCAAAGGAGGGATGATAATAAGGGGTTTGAAAGTGATGCAAATCAGACTATAAAAGAGAAAAAATGAAACCAACCATAAAAATACATGCAACCCCAAAAAAAAAAGTCAAACTTTTAAGTTTGTAGTGCTCAATGGTGCAGAGGGGGCTGCAAGTGTTAAAGATAATCGAGGATTTTAAGACAATAATGTTTCCTTTCAATATTAGTAAACAAGAAAAACAAACTTCTGAGGTGTGCACTGAAATGTGTAATATCTCTTCTCTTTTCTCATGCCCTTTTCCCCCCTCCAATTGAGCACAGGCACTCAACCATCTCATGCCAAGTTGTCCTATCGTTTGCTACTGCATGCAGCTCACCCTGTGTCCTTCTTATCTTTTTAACTTTACTCTTTAGTTCCCTTCTCAGAGAGAGAGAGAGAGGGAGAGAGAGAGAGAGAGAGAGAGAGAGAGAGAGAGAGAGAGAGAGAGAGAGAGGAAGAGTGAGAGAGTGAGAGTCAGAGAGAAAGAGAGAAATAAAGAGAGAGAAAGAAAGAGCAGAAGAGAGATTGAGAGAGAGAGGCAGAGAGAGAGAGAGAGAGAGAGAATGAGTGAGTCAGTGCATGAGTGAATGAG